CTGTGCCATTTCCTTATTATAATATTTTATTATTTTCTTTACATTACAATTTAAGTTGCATATAATCTACTTTTATTTAAATTCTTCTTTCCTACTAGCTCTATTAAAGACTGTGTCTAGCTGAGACCGGTTTGGCTCAATGGATAGAGCGTCGGCTTGGGGACTGAAGGGACCCAGGTTTGATTCAGGTCAAGGGCATGTACCTTGGCTGTGGGCATATCCCCAGTAGGGGGTGTGCAAGAGGCAGCTGATCGATGACTCTCTCTCATCGATGTTTCTAGCTCTCTATCTCTCTCCCTTCCTCTCTGTACAAAATCAATAAAATGTATTTTTTTAAAAATTAAAAAAATAAATAAAAATAAAGACTGTGTCTAAATAGACATTTTATCCTAGACCTGTTGAATAAATGAACACCAATTAAGTCCTCGTAGTTCACAGCATCAAGTCAACTTATGTGTAAAACTAGGAGAAAAAAATAATAAATGTAAGTACATTACTTTCAAATATCTGAAACACGTACTAAGATAACAATAATAGAAATAAAGATTATAAGAAAGGAAGAATACAGAAATACTGTCCTTTTCATATGAATTCCATAAAAGTATTTGGTTTTTAGTCCAGGTACATGTATAACTTTATTTTTTTAAATTAAAGATTTTAAGAAAAGAGTCTATACATTACCAAAAGCAGCAATAACATTGTTAGACATAGATGTATTGATAAATAGAGTCTGTTTATCCAGAACATCAGCATAACAAATAATCATTTCTTATATTACACTTGAGGCCCGGTGCACAAAATTCATGCTTGGGGGGTCCCCTCAGCCCAGCCTGCACCCTCTCCAATCCAGGACCCACCACTGGCTCCTAATTGCTCACCTGCCTGCCTACCTGATCACCCTTAACTGCCCCTCCCTGCTGACCTGGTCGCCTCCAACTGCACTGCACCCCCACTGGCCTGGTCACCCCACACAGCCTGCTTGCTCAGTCATTTGGTCATCCTTGGGCTGGCCCTGGGCATCTAGGCAGCTGACATCTGAGGTTTGCCAGCACCCCTTGGACCAGCCCTGGAACACTGGGCAGCCACCATCTGAGACTTGCCTGTGCCTTGGGCCAGCCTTGGGTGGCTGGGGGGCTGAGGGAACTGGGGGACTCTGGAGGCAGGCAGCTGGAGCAGACGGACCCACCTGGGGGCCGGTCAGGCCATGCCATGCCATGCCATTCACATGTTGCCCTGGCAGGGCTGAGGGTACTGGAAGCTGCCATCTTGTGGTTGTGGGCACCGCCATCTTTGAGTGTATTGCAGTCAATTAGCATATTCCCTCCTTGGCTGTGGGCATGATGGTCAATTACCATATTCCCTCTTTATTAGATATGATCAGATATGATGAAAGAAGGGGCCTGACAGCTTGGGAAAGGTAGGAGAACTGGCATTTTCCTGCAGCCATCTCATCTACTAAGTATGGGATTGGAAAATAGAAGAAATACTTTTGCATAGTTCTGCTTCTGAACTAACTCTACTATTAATATATTCCTGAACATTGTCTAAGCTTCATTCATATTTGTGCACTTCTTATATAGATAATCTTTAAAAATTTTTAACCACCAGGGCCAGTGTGGGTCAGTGGCTGAGCACCAACCTCTGAACCAGGAGGTTGAGATTCAATTCCCAGTAAGGGCACATACCCAGATTGCGGGCTTGATTCCCAGTGTGGGGCAGACAGGAGACAGCCGAACAATGACTCACTCTCTTCATTGATGTTTCTATCACTCTCTCCCTCTCCGTTCATCTCTAAAATCAGTTTTTAAAAAATATTTAACCAAGATATGTTTAGTTTCTTAATCTAAGACTCACAAGTGGAACATTTATATAAAATTTACAGAACTGAAGCAAAACTGTGCTTAGTTTGGACCAGCATTGACGTTCTGCTTACTAACACTTACTCAAAAGCTGGAGGAATCATGCTACCTGATATCAAATATACTACAAGACTATACTCATCAAAAAGAATGGTACTGGCATGAAAACAGATCAACAAAACAGAATAAAGAGCCATGAAATAAACTCTTGCCTTTATGGTCTATTAATATTTGATGAAGAAGGCAAGAACATAAAATGTAGTAAAAATAGTCTATTCAATAAATGGTGTTTGGAAAATTGGGGGGCTGGATGAAAAAAGTGAAGGGATTAAGGAAAGAAAAAAAAAAAAAACCTTCTTAGATGCAGACAACAGTATGGTAATTACCAGAGGGAATTGAGGGTTGGGGAGGGGTGTAGAAGAGGGTAAAGACTTGAGGGCTGGGGAAGGGTGTAGAAGAGGGTAAATGGTGATGGAAGACTTGACTGGGGCTGGTAAACACACAATACAATATACAGATGACATATTATAGAATTGTACACCTGAAAACTATATAATTTTATTAACCAATGTCACTCCAATAAATTCAATAAAAATTTTAAAAAGGCAAATGCGATTTATGGTCTGCAAAGATCCCTAAGAGCCAGGATTATTTCTAGCTTGACCAACATTAGCTCCCCACTGTCTAGCATATGGGAACACTTAAATAATTACTGAATAACTGACTAGTGATAAACAAGTTTCAGAAGGGTTTAGTTAGAGTAATGCATAACAGTCACAGTAGTCTATAAAAGATAAATATTTGAAGCTATATCATAACCTTTTACAATGAAAACTAAAACTGCCAAACTACCTGCATAGTATATCTTCTGCAATCACTTGTTGGAAGTAATGAAGTATAGCTCTTAGAGCATGGATTCTGAATTTGAAGTCAGAATTTAGTTGAATTCCAACTCTGCCTCTTGTAAGATATGTGACCTTGCCAACTATAAAACAGGGTAACTTCTAACTCACAGCATACAGTATATGAGATAGTGTATATATAAAGTTCTTTGAACACAGTAAGAGCTCCATCTATGCATCAGAAGGAGCTTATTATCCAGACTGCCTCCTAATTTTTGAAACAGTTTTTCAGGGCTATACTAGTACTACTGCAATAGTAAACAACTGGTCAAAAAAAAAAAAAAAAAAAAGGAAAACTAGATAATAAAAATTTGAACCTGGGCATAAAAACTACTTTAAAGAGTAATTTAAATTACTCAGAAGACCTTAAGTTACTCAGAGCTAAACATGAGTTACCTTTGTGAGTATTCAAAGTGATGTCTCTAATTATAACCAAAACAAGTGGGCAGCCTGAGTACCGCCAAAGGAATGCGCTCAATCCAGTCAACTCTCCTAACCACACAAGGTTCAACCTTCTTGTTAAAGCTTGTGCTTCCTCTTTGCCTTTTAAGTTTGTCAACAAACCATGGAATAGATGAAAAGGTAGTCTCTATTAACAAGAGTTGTATTAACAATATCTTTTCCTCTGATCACAACATAGAAATAGTTCCCTGGGTTGAAAGAAAAAAAACCAATGCCAGATTTTAAGGCCTTTGTCCATGCCTTTGGCATGGTACTTGTTAGACCATGTTGCAAGACTTTGAAAATGTCAACTATGCATCCCAAAAAGCTAAATAAAAAGGACACTCATTCCACGCCATACCAGCAGGAATCTTCTACCTCTGCAAAATAAAGCCAGTCTTCAAAAGCAAGAAATAAAAAACCCCAAGTCCTAAATACCTAACAATATGATACATAATTATATGATCAGATGGAAGACCAAAGTTCTTCACAAGTGATTTATCAAAGAACAAAGACATTTTACTTAAAATGTTTAAAAAAATAATGAAGTCCAATATGCTGGTTACTTCATTCTTATACTACTGACACCAAAATCCTGCAATCAAGAATATCCTGATTCCTATAAAATTTGCAGCAATATATGCCTGTTTATAAATATTTTAAGTAGTAATCACATTATCCAAAAGAACAACCACAACCAAAAAAGGCAGGGAGAATTCTAGCTGAAACACTCAACACAACACACACACACACACACACACACACACACACACACACACGGCTTCTAATGAGCTTGGTGAATATATTTTTTTAAGGAACAAATTAAAATTCTATTGGCCCCAAGCCTCCAACTGCAAAAGGACCACACAATAGAAGTCTCCTGTCTGCCCCCATCCACTGAAGAGATGTGGTATTTAGGTCATGCTATAAACCAGAATGTAAATAAGTATAAGCTGCAGTATGCAATACTGACTATACCTTACTGATCTGGTGATCCTACCAAGCCTTTCCTCTTTTAGGACATTTTATTTTTGGTCATTCCAAAGTGGAATATGTAGGATTTAAAAGGAAAATTAGGACCCTACTAGGCAATTTAAAACATTTTGATAAATTGGAATTTACTATACACAGATACATACATATAAAATAAGCTTTGTTCAAGGTCATATTTTAATTATTGTTTCTAATTTTAAAAAGAGACATTTATGTTTTTTAGTAATAGGGTACAAGTTACATAAATTAAGGAAACCCGGGTAGCTTATATGCTGCTCTTATCTGTTAGGAAAGAGTGGAGTGGGAAAAATATATTTATATATTTTTTGCATAAGATAAAGCTATAAGGATACATAAGAAACTAGAAAATCTGGCTGCCTCAAAGTAGGGGAAATGGGGAACTAAGAGTGGGAGTGGAGACTAAGTGAATGTTTAAACTAATTCTAAAACACTGATTTTTCTTAAATGATTGCTAATTTTTAAAACAAGTCCTTTGAAAGTCTGTTTAATCATTTATAAAATGAGAGGAAAAAATAATACCTACCTAATAGAGTTACCATTACAAAAATTGAGATCTTGCATACAAAGTGATTCCCACAATTCCTAGTCCACTTTTCAAAATCACTTATAGCATCTCTGGCCCTTATTCTTTGTACCCTGTACTGTGCTGCACACCTAACTGTATCTTAAGCAACTACTGTGAAATAAATGAATGAGACCTTTCTGAAAGTATCACCAGATTTCCCATCAGTTAGCATTCTGCAAAAGTCTTGTATTTTAGGAAATCAACCATCTTCATACTTACAGGGATGCTCCAGACCTGTATTCCATCACTGTAGCCAATCATAATCAGCAAAGGCGGCTCATTCCCAGTACTGTGTATTTCATGAAATTCCAGATTTCTTGATGTATCTACATTAGAATTAAATAACAGGAATTAAAAAGACACAGTGTCAGTCAAGAAAGCTACATACTTCTTTAATGCCTCAGTTTTTGGCCTGGCGAGTCTATTTTGAAGAACTGGTGTTGGAAGAACTGGTGTTAGAAGATCTGGGGGTGTCTGTCGCATATGGCTCGAGAGCCTCAGTTTGCCGACCACTGGCTTAAGTCATCCTACTCAGGAAAACAGATAGCAGAAATCCAATTAGTGCTATTTGCCAACCACATCCATGATGGACAGATGAAGTTAAAGAGAATAAATCTCATTTTGGTACCTCCGCAGAAAGCTGATGAATATTCTATTGACATCCTCCCTAAGACTTCCCCTAAACACCCAGCCTTTAAACCCCTCAAAAGGAAGGTCAGGCTGAAGCCAATTTGGCTCAGTGGTAGAGCGTCGTTCTGCCAACTGAAGGGTCCCAGGTTCGATTCCGGGCAAGGGCATGTACCTTGGTTGTGGGCACATCCCCGGTAGGGGGTGTGCAAGAGGCAGCTGGTCTATGTTTCTCTCTCATCGATGTTTCTAGCTCTCTATCTCTCTCCCTTCCTCTCTGTAAAAAATCAATAAAATATATTTAAAAAAAAAAAAAAAAAAAAAAGTCAGGCCCTAGCTGATCTGGTTCAATGGATAAAGTGTCGACCTGTGGACTGAAAGGTCAAAGGCACGTGCCCGGATTGTGGGCTCGACCCCAAAAGGGAACATGCTGGAGGCAGCCAAAGGTTCTTCCCCGTCATTGATGTTTCTATCTCTTTCCCTCTCCCTTCCTCTCTGAAATCAATAAAATATATATTTTTTTTATAAAAAAGAAAGGTCAGAAAGTCCAGTGCATGCTCTCCCTCCCAGCAGCATGCTTGTGCCTCCCCCACCCCTCCCCCTGAACCCTCCCCCGACTTCTTTCCCCATAGGCAGGGTCTCCTAAATTCTAACGAACTCCATGAGGCTTGCAACCAGGACATCAATAGGTAGCAGCTACTAATTCCAGACAACCCCTATGACCCTGTCCCAAAGGGCCCCCTTTTCTCTGGCTTCTTAGTGAGCCAAAGCAGCCCAGCCTAAGCCGATTCTCCCAGCCTATTCTTATTTCCCTGCCTCCAGTTTTAATAAAAGTCCTCTAAAATTCACCTGGACTCGTGTTGTGAAGTTTTTCCTGCAAAAAATCAAGAACCCACACACTACCAACTGTAGACCAGTTCAGGGCCTAAGCAGACCAGTTCAGAGACTGGTCCCCTTTCCGATAACATGACAAATTCGACTGCATTATTTTTCACATTAAAATGAAGAACTTCTGCTAATCAGGAGCCACTCTTACCACAAGAGTAAAAAAGCCAGCCACAGCATGCGAGAAGTCTTGCAACAAGCATAACCCCACAAGGATTCAGCCAGTACATGTAACAATTAAAAATCGATATGAAAGATAAGTCATTAGAAAAATAGGCAAGACATGAAACAGCATTTCAAAAAGAGGATATTCAAAAGATCAATAAGACACGAAAAGTGGCTGGACCTCATTTGCTGTAATCAAGGAAATGTTAATTAAAACCACAATGACAAAACCAAGTGTTGGGAGGATGTGGAGCAAATGGATTGCTTATTCACTGCTGGTGAATTTAATTAGTACAAACCACTTTGGAAAACAGTTTGACATCTTACTCAAGTCAAAGATACCACACCCTTTTACAGCAGTTCCACTCTAGGTATACATGCTCCTTAGAAGCATGAGCACACACACATGCACTAAGAGACATGCATAAGAGTATCTATATCAAGACTATTTGAAAAGAGCCAAAAGCTACAATCAATGCAAAGGGCCATCAACAGAATGGACAGTGTTATATTGACACAATGGAATACTTTTGAGCACAAAAAAAGAATGAACTACTACCATACACCATAACATGAATGAACCTCACAGACATAATGAGCAAAATAAGCCAGACACAAAAGACCTTACATTGAATAATTCTATCTATATAAAATTCAAAATCACCAGGAAATTAGTAATATTCCTTTTGTTACCTTTCATGTTGGTTACAGGGTTGTTGGATTTGCAAAAATTTCACTGATCTACTCTTTAATTTTGTGTTCTTTATCATGATGTTTGCACAATATAAAGATTTATAAAAATAATAAATTAAAGCAACAATATCCTTCTCCCTGTATTTGATTTCATCACTCTCTTCTCCTTCTAGAAGCTAAATTCCTTGATTGAGTTGTTTATAACTGTCCTCTATTTTTAATTTCTCATTCACCCAAAAATACATTGCAGAATGATTTCTGCCCCTAACACTCCTCCAATTTGACTTTTGCTACCGTCTCCAATCATCTCCAAGTTGTTGTTAAAGAGAAAACTATAGCCAAAACCGGTTTGGCTCAGTGGACAGAGCGTTGGCCTGCGGACTGAAAGGGCATGTACCTGGTTGCGGACACATCCCAGTAGGGGGTGTGCAAGAGGCAGCTGATCGATGTTTCTCTCTCATCTATCCCTCTCCCTCCCTCTCTGAAAAAAAATCAATAAAATATATATTTTTTAAAGTTATTCTAAAATAAATCTAAGAAAAGACCATATGATGAAAATCCAGAAAAGATTGCAATAATTATATTTTAATCTCATACTTCAATTATAGAAATAAAATGGCACCCTATTATAAAAGACTAGAGGTCCAATGAGGACCAAGCCTGCAACTGAGGTACATGCCCTTGAATGTAATCGAACACAGTATCCTTCAGTCCGAAGGCTGATGAGAAACTAGCTAGGGCTCAGGACTCTTAATACACAATCTAATCATCTTTCTACTAGAGCTAACTTGATCACAGGTTGTTACGTTTAGGAGGGCTCCAGCGCCACATATAAAAACCCTGTGGTTTTTATATGAACAAAATCTCCTTTCTCTTAATTTAGATTTGGTTAATCACTTGTGCTATTTTACTTCTCTGGATTAAGATAAGCACATATGTCCTCCTTCTAAAGGGTGACCACTCTCAAGATAACACAAATCTTATTAACTATCCTATTAACCACTCCTGGGTTTTTTGTTCCCACCTTCAGGTAATCTTCCTTAATTTCAAATGCATTAAAGAAGCTGCAAAATTCTTTCTCTGGAGCATCTGAGATCTTGCACCCCTGCATATGTTGTCAGTTAGGCTCAAATAAACTATTATACAAATTCTCTACAGGTTTGGATCATTCCTACATTGACACTAGCTATAAAATAGGTTTCAAAAAACAGTATGGTGGTATCTCAAAAAATTAAAAATAGAATTACCACATAAACCAATAATCCCATTTATGAGTATATACTCAAAAATAATTGAATGCAGGCATTCAAAGCAATATCTATACACCCAAGTTCATAGCAGCATTATTCACAAAGTCTAAAGGTGGACACAATCCAAATGGAACATGAAAGGACAGAGAAAAAAATGTGGTGCACACACACAAAGGAATATTACACAGCCTTAAAAAGAAAGAACCTACACATGCTACAACGTAAATAAATCTGAGGACATTATACTACGTGAAATGAGCCAGTCATATAAAGACAAATACTATATGACACCACTTATGAGGCTTTTGAGTAGTCAAATTCAGAGTCATAAATAACTGTGGTTGCCAGAGGCTAGTGGGAAGGAATGTGAAATTGTTGTTTAATGGGTATAAAATTTCAGTTTTACAAGATGAGTTCTAGAGATCAGTTGCATAGCAAAGTGAATGTGCAGTAGGTCCTCCGTTCATAAAGTTCATTCAATAGCATTTCATTGTAATGTTGATGAGATGCTATAAGCAACTAACTCTTTTTATATCAATTAGCCTATATTAAAACGTTTCCTTATACTTCGTTTCACCATACTTCCAAAAACCTATCAACAATGTTAACTGAGGACTTACTGTACATAAGACTACTAAACCATACACTTAAAAATGGTTAAAATAATACACTTTATATGCATTTTACCATAATTAATCTTTTAATTCCCCTTAAATAAATCACTTGTAACTGAAGAAGGGGCTGTTGAATATAAAAACTGGTACCTAAGTATAGTACTAGACTTCTTATTAGAATGCCAAGTCAAGAAAGGCCATGGAGTGCAACAAGCTTCTCCCTCACAGATTAGACTTGGCAGTTCTGGTTATACTGTAGCGAACCAGCTGGATAATCTAGTGTGCTTTGGGTCTCAAACCATATGCACACCTTCAGGGAATTTGATAGAAAAATATCAGGATGTGAAACTGCTTTGGCTACTTCTTTTTCAGTATGGTATCTTAAGGAAAACGAGCTTAGGCATGAATCAGACTGTCTGAAAGAGAAACAACAGAGATCATTATACAAAAGGCCCTTGTCCTACTCTCTAATGAACTCCAAAAGTAGTCATCTCTACCTAACAGCAGCCAAAATTAGAGCATGGATTAGGAACGGATACCTAGGGGAATGCAGGATTGGTTCCCCAAGCCCCAACCATGATAAATCATATCAAAGGGGAAGCAGGCTGGAGGGAAGGGGCTACCTGGCAGCTCTTAATAATTTTAAGCTATTTTTTTTATAAATTTTAATATTTTATTGATTTTTTTACAGAGAGGAAGGGAAAGGGATAGAGAGTTAGAAACATCAATGAGAGAGAAACATAGATCAGCTGCCTCTTGCACACTCCCTACTGGGGATGTGCCTGCAACCAAGGTACATGTCCTTGACCAGGATCGAACCTGGGACCTTTAAGGCTGCATGCCAATGCTCTACCCACTAAGCCAAACCAGTCAAGGCTGGTTATGCTATTTTAAATTAAACACAAATTGAGTCCAAGTGGAGCGAGCGAGCGAGCTGAGTGGTTGTGTGCACACACACAAAGGAATATTACACAGCCTTAAAAAATGTGGTGCACACACACAAAGGAATATTACACAGCCTTAAAAAGAAAGAACCTACACATGCTACAACGTAAATAAATCTGAGGACATTATACTACGTGAAATGAGCCAGTCATATAAAGACAAATACTATATGACACCACTTATGAGGCTTTTGAGTAGTCAAATTCAGAGTCATACTTGTGTCTCGAAGACCGGTAGCCCTTGAAGCATGAGTGACCAAATGACTTGAGAGCAAATTGCAGAATTCAAAGAAGCTTTTTCACTATTTGATAAGGATGGTGATGGAACTATAACAACAAAGGAATTGGTAACTATAATGAGGTCTCTTGGGGAGGATCCCACAGAAGCAGAGTTACAGGACATGATAAATGAAGTGGATACTGATGGTAATGGCACAATCGACTTCCCAGAATTTGACAATGATGGCAAGAAAAATGAAAGACACAGACAGTGAAGAAGAAATTCGAGAAGCATTCTATGTGTTTGCTAAGGATGGCAATGACTATATTAGTGCAGCAGAGCTTCGCCATGTGATGACAAACCTTGGGGAGAAGTTAATAGATGAAGAGGTTGATTGAATGATCAAGGAAGCAGATATTGATGGTGATGGTCAAGTAAACTAGGAAGAGTTTGTATTAATTATGACAGCAAAGTGGAGAAATTGTACAGAATGTGCTAAATTTCTTGTACAAAATTGTTTATTTGTCTTTTCTTTGTAAGTTATCCATAAAAGGTTCCTCCTGCTGTCAAAAAAAAAAAATGCATGTATAGTAATTAGGACTTCATTTCTCCGTGTTTTCTACCCTTATCTTACTGTTACTGTCCTGAAACCTTATTTTAAAAAATTGATCAAGTAACATGTTGCATGTGGCTTACTCTGGATATATCTAAGCCCTTCTGCACATCTAAACTTAGATGGAGTTGGTCAAATGAGGGAACATCTGGTTATGCCTTTTTTTTTTTTAATATATTTTATTGATTTTTTACAGAGAGGAAGGGAGAAGGATAGAGAGCTAGAAACGTCGATGAGAGAGAAACATCGACCAGCTGCCTCTTGCACACCCCCTACCGGGGATGTGCCCACAACCAATGTACATGCCTTTGACCGGAATCGAACCTGGGACCTTTCAGTCCACAGACCGACACTCTACCACTGAGCCAAACCGGTTTCAGCTGATTATGCCTTTTTAAGCAGTTTTCTTTAGAAACTCTCAGCATGTTGTTGTTGAAGTGTGGAGTTGTAACTCTGCGTGGACTATGAACAGTCAACAATATGAACTTAAAAGTTGCACTATTGCAAAACGGGTGTATTATCCAGGTACTCATACACTATTTTTTTTTTTTTGTACTGCTGGTCCTGTACCAGAAACATTTTCTTTTATTGATACTTGTTTTTTAAATTTTGTTTAGCCACTTACAGAAAATCTGCTTATGGCACAATTTGCCACAAATCCATTCCAAGTTGTATATTTGTTTTCCAATAAGAAAAAATTTTACCCCCAAAAAAATAATTAAACACAAATTTATTTTGAAAACTAAAAAGTTACTAAAAGAGAAAGTAATCTAACTCAAGAATCAGGTCAACCTGAAGCAAACATTGAATGTATAAGGCCCAAAAAGTTAAAACCATACCATTTAAATCTGCATTTTCAAATCTGACCCAGACTATTTTCTCCTTTTCTTCTGTTAGAGGTGTTCCACTGTAAGCCTGCATAGTAAAACAGAAATGTTTGAATAAAAATATTTTACAGTGCTAATATTACTGATGTTCAAAACAAAGAGTAACTGAAAGCCAACACTATCCCTCTACAATTTCACCAAGCCTACATCTTGGAAACAGCACATTTTGTACTATTTGTAATCCCAAAGAAAGTTATCCAGGAGTCTGAAAACCTTGGTCAGAAGAGAGTTTTTAAGCTACTAAAATACTGCAAAAGCCCTGACCAGGTGGCTCGGCTGGTTGAAGCATTGTTCCATTACACCAAATGGTTGTGGGTTCATTCCCCAGACAGGACATGTATGGGAAGCAAACAATCAATGTTTCTCTTTCACGTTGTTTTTCTCTCTCTCTCCCTCCTCCTCTCTCTCTCTCTCTCTCTCTCTCTCTCTCTCTCTCTCTAAAAAAAAAAAAAAAAAAAAAAAAAAAAAAAATCAATAAAAAACATGTACCTAGATGAGGATTTAAACAAGTTTTGAAAAAAAATTGCAGAGACCTAAAATATAATAAACACAGTATATTAGAAAGCATTACTATAATTTTAAGATGCTCAAAAAACTAAATCATTTCCTATATTAGCCAACAAATAAGAAGTCTTAAAAAAATAAAACTACCTCAAGTATCTATTTACTTCCCATGTATTTATGATCAGGCAATTTACACTTTACCCAAAATTTTCAAGCATATTACTTTCTTACAGCATAGGAAATATAGTTAATAATACTGTAATAACTATGTATGTACTAAAATTATCAGGGACATCACTTCTTACATTATATAATTGTTTAACTACTAGTCTATTCACCTGGAACTAATATAAAATAATACTGAACATAATCTGTAATTGAAAAATAAAATTTTTAAATGTACTCCATGATATTATAAATAGAATTATAGGATAATACATATTACCTCATTTTCCTAAATCATAAAACAATTAAAAGCTTCATTTGCTTTTCTCTTGTAGGCTTAAAAATACAGCACAAAAACACAAAAATAAATTCACTTGTTTGTAGTCATACACACAAAAAGGAGCATTACTTATTACTTTCTTCATGTCTCTAGTTGGAGGGCAGTGTTGGGGGTAGAAAAAAGTACCGGTATTACTTTTTCAGTCTCTGATCTGGCCTCTACACTTAACCTATTAGCTAGTTTATTAGCTAGTTTCTACAAGCCTGCAAGGGTCACAAAGATAAACATAGGAAAAGTGTCAAGGGTTCTTCTCATCAGTAGTCAAAGGGAGTCATCTCTCCCTAAGGCAAGTATTTTTATTGTGTGAATTTACAAATATTTAAAATGTCAATAAAAGAGCTGCAACATTTCAATTATAAAATGGTTCAATTCAGGTAATTATTATTTAATATGGTATATCAAGATCTTATAAAAACTATAACATAATTTGTGTTACTATATATGAACTGCTTTAAATTTCCATACCAATTTAAAGTCCCCATACTTACCATACAAAGGTAAAGGACATTGAAAACACTATTAAAAGACCATTACTTTAATTGTAAGTTTACTATACCCAAAAAAAATTCTTTATTTAAATTGTTTGTTTTTTTTAAAGTGAACTATGAGTAGGGCAGTAAATTTTTTTGGAGAAGCGGAAAAACCCACACTATAACCTACTTTATCTTTAACCATCTCATCCTTATCACCAGTTATCTTCTCAACCTTATCTTCTCTTCCTCCTTGGTCTAGCCCTTACAATAACCTACTTTATCTTCAAACATCTCATCCTTATCACCAGTTACCTTCTCATCCTTATCTTCTCTTCCTCCTTGGTCTTGCCCTTATCATCCTTGAAAACTTATTTTTTTTAATAATTTTTTACCTTGGAATAATTTTAGATTGCTAAACAGTACAGGAAGTTTTCATATAGAGCTTAGCCAGATTTCTCTAATATGAACTACCTAAATTAATTAAATTTTACCTTACCATAGTACATTCGTCAAAACTCTGAAGCTAATTGATGCATTACTAGTAATTAAGCCTCAGATCTCATGGGATTTCCCCAGTTTTTCCAATAATGTCTTTTCTCTGCTCCAGGATCCAATCTAAGACACATTACAATTAGGACTTCTAACTCAGGCTCTTCTTCAGTCCCATAAAGGAGTAACATTTTATCAACATTTCCTTCAGTTTAGCAGAATTACTATCAAGCTGCTTATCACCTGTAGCTATATTCAACATTCTCCTTTGCAACATCTAAAGATGTTGTCCTTTGACTTCTGAGTGATATGCAGAACAAAACAAAAAAAAAGGATGAAAGAAGCCTTTCAGTATATGGGGATTCCAGAACTTCTTTGTTTTCCTCCTCAGGGAGAAATAAGATTTTCATACAAACGCTTGTATAATTTTGTTAGTCTTCAGGCTTTCCTCTCTCCTTCCCAGACATGGTATTCTTTATATATATATTTGATTTTTTTACAGAGAGGAAGGGAGATGGATAGAGAGTTGGAAACATCGATAAGAGAGAAACATAGATCAGCTGCCTCCTGTGCACCCCCGTCTGGGGATGTGCCTGCATCCAAGGTACATATGCCCTCAACTGGAATCGAACCCGGACCTTTCAGTCCCCAGGCCGATGCTCTATCCACTGAGCCAAACCAGTTAGGGCAAGTCATGGTATTCTTTACTAAGCATTCCTGAGAAAATTCTGTGAAGCTAATGAAAGCATCTGAGTATTGCTTCTTGAGTGCCTTCCAGCAGGTTTGCACAAAGAAGGTAAATGAAATTAGTCACTTTGCCTCTCAATTTACGATAATCTTTGCCCATGCTTAGGTATTTCATTCCCAATGATGCATACCAAGTGCCCATCCAGCTTTCACTTGCTGTCTTAATGGTGGTTAGCGTACTACTAAACTATTAGCCCTTCTTTTTTGTTGTTAATCCTCACCTGAGGATACTTTTTCATTTTTAGAGAAAATGGAAAGGAGTGGGAGAGACAGAGAGAAACATTGATGTGAGAAAGACACATCGATTGGTTGTCTCCCACACATGACCCAACCCTGGCCTGGGGGATTGAGCCTGCAATGGAGGTGCACGCCCTTGGCCAGAATCAAACCCATGACCCTTCAGTCCACAGGCCAATTCTCTCTCCACTGAGCCAAACCAGCTAGAGCTTAGCCCTCCTTCTTCCACCAAAATCCAACTGCCATAAACCTCAAATTTAGAGTCCACAACTGACAGGATTTGTTTATTTCTCCTTTTATTCCTTATCTGGTTTCTATCATAGCTACACATTCATAAGCACAAAGTTATTATTGAATTTTGAAAGACACAGCTAAGATTACTGTAGACATGTTTTTTTCACTGTAGAGAAAATAACTTCCATTATGTGCTATCAAAAGTATAATGTTTCATAACAGCAAATCATTCTATAGGAAGAACATATATAATTTCATATAATTTACTTGACTGCTATTAACACTTGGGCTGATCACAATTTTTTTACCCTGAAAATGTGAAATTTTCAAAAAGACTTAAAAGAGAAGATTTGAGCTTTAACTCTTTTTTCTTTGTTAAAATTATTTTTAGCCCTAACCAGTTTGGCTCAGTGGATAGAGCATTGGCCTTTAGACTGAAGGGTCCTGGGTTCCAGTCAAGGGCATGTACCTTAGTTGCAGACTCGATCCCCAGTAGGGGTTGTGCAGGAGGCAGCTTGATCAATGTTTCTCTCACTCGTTTTTTTAACTCTCTATCCTTCTCCCTTTCTCTCTGTAAAAATTAATAAAATATTTTAAATCATTTTTAATAACTTTTCAGAAGTACAATTGTTAGATCAAAGGGCACAGCTAAGGGTTTCTATACATCATCAATGCTATCTCTTGAACACAATGAAAATTCACACTATTTGTGATAGCTAAAGAAGCTAATAACATACTAACAGATTTTCTCCTTTTGGGGGATAGAGACCCCAAAAATAATTTCCAGGCTCCATGAATTTGATGATTCCCAGAATAGAACAGAAGTTGGAACCTAATATCATCATCAAAAAATATCATTTTCCAAGTGGCTAACCACAAAATATCAATGGGGGCTTCTGGATTAAATGTGGAATAAAGACTATGACGTACACATGAGACCCATATAGAATAATACTGAATGTAAATTACAATTGAAAAATAAAATTTACATTTAATAAAATTGAGACTATGAGTCACCAAATCTAGCCTACCATCTGTTTTCATAAAGTTTTATTTTAATACAGCCCTGCCCTTTGCTTTACATAAAAAGCATTGATGCCCGGCCAATGTGGCTTAGTGGTTGAGCATAAACCAATGAATCAGAAAGTCACGGTTCAATTCCCAGTCAGAGCACATGCTGGGGGTTGCAGGCTCAATACCCAGTGTGGGGTGTGCAGGAGGCAATCAATCAATGATTCTCTCTCATCACTTGATGTTGCACTCTCTCTCTCTCCCTCGCCCTTCCTCTCTGAAATCAATAAAAAATTTTTAAAAAAAAAGGCACTGCTAATAGTTGCTACAGAGATTATATGACCTGCAAACGTTTATCCAGCCCTTTACAGAAACAGTTCACCAACTGCTGCACTAGACAATGAAGTTTTAAGGATGGTCGTAAAGTACTTCAACTTAACAGAATTCTGGATCCATAATGGCCGCTCAAGAAAATGTCTGCTGCCTAAATTTTTGCTTTCTTTCCAAAGTAGAATGACTTGCATAACATAAATTTCTTGAATGAATATTCTAATTCTTAGATTAATGACTATGACTTTACATCCACAGTTACTACTCTGATCCAAATCTGCAGCCAATTGCATAGATTAACCCCTTTCTAATGTATAATGTTCATAAGAACTAAATTAATAGTCTATCTTCCAGCACTTGTACCCTGTCAGTTTTAGCAGCCAATTTTCAATCTATTACTCACTCTAGTATTCTTGTTTCTCCAGAAAAACCTCCCTCAAAGCCCCTGACCACAGCCTTTCTTCTCCGGCCAACCAACGCTGCTTGCTATGCAGGGTTTCCATTGGCACAAAAGTTGCCTTTGAAAGAATCTGATAAAGAGGCACTCCAGGGCAGGCAAACTACAAAAATTTTGAAATGCCCCTTCCTTGGAACATGCCAGAGCTCAGGGGCTTACAAAGAAAGGAGCAGTTTGTAGAAGACCAAAGCCTGGTATTCTCAGAAGAATACAGGAAGCTCGCCAGCCACAGGAACTCTGTTGCCTACCATGCCCAACTAACCAGTTTCTTTCAACATCAAATACCCAACCTCTCCATTCATTTCAATTAATGCTGCTCCCAATGACCTTTGGAACTTAAGCCTTTCACTCTTTCTTGGCTATGTATGCATTCCCTTTGTAACTGAATGTTCAGTCTGTATTACATGTGTAACACTATTTGATATGTTGTTACTACCTCTGGTTGTTTCAAGAAATTTGACTTCCCTTATTCAAGTTCTTCAAGAAAAAGAAGGAAAAAAACATGTATTTCTCCTTACATGCCCCACAGACCTGCAGACCTTGTCATTATGTGGCCTATTTTCATTAAAGATGACTAAACATAATAAATACTAACATTCTGTGATACTTTCCCATATTTGATGAATACTCTAATACAACTGAAATCTAAAGTCTGGAGTTTTCCTGGACCCTCTTATAAAACAGATCTCTGAATGTCCTTTCTGAACAGGGCAATTACAGATACTGTAGCGGTCAGGGAATACTGGCACCACAAGGAGAAGGCAGAAACCTTCCCCTTCATTAGTTCCACTAAACATTGCTTCCCAAAGCTAATGTTTCACAAGGATTGCCTGAGATTCTTACTATAAACACGAATTATGAAATGCCACCTGAATGCCACTCAGTCAGACGCTCTGGGAGAGGGGCCTGGGAATTACTCTTTTCAATAAGCATGCCAAGTGATACTTATGTTAAGTCTGGGCATCATTGCCCTAGGAATGATCCCAGGAGGGTAGCTCTCCTCCATCGCACCTGGACATAGAGGGACAGGTAAGGAGCTTACTTCCTCACAGGCTAAAGTAACAGGGCATACTCTGCATAGCATAAAAATACTACTTAATATGAAAGAGACATAGATTTTTGCTCAGTGTAGAGGATTTAATTAACATAATACCTAGTTAATGAAATGTCAAGCATGTATTGCTTATCTCACTTCAATCAGGCATCATTTAACCAGGACAAGGGGAAGACTGTGGAAACAAGCCAACTAGAGAGTCCCAAGTCCCTTCCCTCATCTACCATCTCGCCTTGATTCCTCTTGGGAGAGCAAGTTCAGAGGAATAATAATGGTGCCACAGACAGCACAAAACTCAGGTATATCTAATAACAAGTGTGGTTCCTCCATACCAATATTCAGGATACTAAAACATCAAGTCTTTTTGAAGTTGGTGATACTAATATCAAGTTTAGGAAACAGTACATTTAAGAGGCTTCCTGGACAAAGGTAAAACCTACTGTTTCAGAAACCTCAAGAAACTTACCTGTGGCACAACATCCTGTAGAAAAGTCACAACACTTTCCATGTAGGACTGCTCCCTGCAAAGAGGAGAATTAGATGAAATTTATCAGGACAGCTTAAGACAAACATGGAAAAGTTCTTCCTAAGCCCTTAGAACAATGGTTCTCAACCTTTTTAATGCCTCGACCCTTTAATACAGTTCCTCATGTTGTGGGGACCCCCCAACCATAACATTATTTTCATTGCTACTTCATAACTGTAAATTTGCTACTGTTACGAACCGTGTTTTCCGATGATCTTAGGGGACCCTGCTAGTGGGTCGCACCTTAGAAAGTCACTCAATATGTTTTTAAAAGACTAACTCACATTACCTGATAATTCTGCTAAGCTTTCTTTCATTGAATGTTATTAAATGCAAATGAGATCTTAACAATTCTAAACATCTCTTCTGAAAAGTCATGCTATCTTAACTTGATATAGAGAACTTCTAACCCATACTCGAAGGAGTGATGACAGAAAACTTGGCTAAAGCAGAACCTTCCTCTTGAGTCAGAGCAGACTGCCCTAATTACCAATAGACAAAGAAAACTTGTTGCTGATGACTCAGTATATAGTGACCTTCCCTTTAAATTGGCTATGAACCTAGTCCCTTATATGCATAGAGAAAAATGAATCTGTATTCACAAGTAACTTCTGCCATATACAGAAAAGTATAAAAACGCTCAAGGACACTAAAATATTTTAAATGGAAAATCAGGAAGTAGAGAAAAAAATCCTTTAAAATACCAAATCAAATTCATTCCAGAGAGATGTGAAAAATTACATTTAGGGAAATAATAAGATCCTAAATCCTATTTTAAAATATACCTTACATACCTACAGAACTAATTAAGCCCCAAAACCCCGAAACATTGTGGTTAGGCCTATCTCTCCAAACTCATTTTTCTGCCATTCCCTTAATTTGGTTTTTACTTCAGTCATATGCAACTTCAATTCCTAGATTACTCCAAACTCTTCTTTTAATCAAGACCTTTACACTAACTTTCTACCTAAAGTCCTTCCCTTACTCAGCCTCCCCTTTCAGATCTCCGCCTAAACTGTTCCCTCCTCAAAGATGCCTTCTCTGATAATCTTAACCATACTCCTTGTCATTCTATCATAGCGCACTGCTTTGATCAGAGCCTGTAATGACTACTTATTCACTATTTCCCCATACCAGAATGTAAACTCCATTACAGAAAGGAATCCATCTCTCATATTTACATTATACCTTTAGAATCTGTAAACCAGTACTTAGTCATGGAGTTGATGCTCAAGCATTGTTAAAAGAATACTGAATGGAGGTATTTTTTTAAAACCACAAAAATTATGAATTGCATTATAAAAAGCAATAAATGTTGAATATGGTGAGGCAGCAAAGACAAACTGCCTGGATTTGATCCAGGTTCCCCTTCTTGGCTGTTACCAAAGAACAATTTACTTAATTTCTCTCTGCTCTGGTCTTTTCAACTGTAAAATGAAGACTGAAATAGTATCTAACTTATAGCTAATAACATGCTTATTGCCACTTTCCATAGTTAACAAAGATATATAGCCTTAGAAAATGCAGGAGAAGAAAAAAATGAAGTTTTGTGGTAAAATATTATATTCCCCATATACTTTTGTTATTCTGAGAAGGCACTCTTTATGTAACATGCTAAACTTCCCAAGGGAAATAATCCAAAATGTTACAATTCCCTTATGAACATTTTAGAAAGCAGAACTAGGAGGTCACAGTTCAATTCCCGGTCATATGCACTGGTGGCGGCATGCAGAAGGCAGCCAATTGATGATTCTCATCATTGATGTTTCTCTCTCTCTCTCCCTGAAATCAATAAAAATAATCTTTTTTAAAAAAAGCAGAAAAGTTTCAACTCCTTACCCAGGTATTGAAAGGTCTTAATTGTTCACCTCAAACTATTTCATATAAGTCAACTTTTTTCTGCTTTTCATGAAAATAGCTTACCTTACCCACATCTTCTCAATCAATTCCCTTTGCCTAAAAACGTACCCTTGACTCTAACTGCCCAAACACTATTCAGCCTTTGAAGTTCACTTAAATGTTAGCTTCCTAACAAACTTTTCAAATCTAAAATAGTAAAATACTTACACAAAAATACTCGAAATTCACATGCTACTTTGCTAGCATCTATTTTATTGATTAAAGTGAGCTACTTTGCTAGCATCTTTTTTATTGATTAAAGTGACTGCAAACATACATATCTTTTCCTTTTTTAAATATGATCTCAATGATTTCAGAGAGAGGAAGGGAGAGGGAAAGAGATAGAAACTTCAATGATGAGAGAGAATCATGGATCAGCTGCCTCCTATATGCCCACTACTGGGGACTGAGCCAGAAACCCCGTCATGCCTCCTGTTGGGAAATCCAACCAGAATTACCAGCCGGCTCAAGCATACATATCTTAAAACTACATTAGATCATACGCTCCTAGAAAGTATACATAACAGCCCACTGTCTTTGTTAACTATGGACAGTGGCAATAAGCATGTTATTAGCTGTAAGTTAGATACTATTTCAGTCTTCATTTTTACAGTTGAAAAGACCAGAGGCTGGGTGGCTCGGTTGGCTGGAGCATCATACTGTACACCAAAAAGGTTTGGGGTTCTTTAATGAACAAGAACAGATCCAGAGACAAATGGTAGGAAGGAGAGGGTTAGAGAGCAACCAAAGGACTTGTATCCATGCATATCAGCATAAACAATGGACACAGACACTGGGGTGGTGAGGGCTTGCCTGGGATGGGAATGGCTGAGTGGGTAGTGTCAATTGGGGCAAAAGGACACATATGTAAAACTTTAGACAATAAAAAAGTAAAATAAATTTTTAAAAAGGTTTGGGGTTCAATTCCCAGCCAGGGCACATACATATGTTGAGGGTTCCAATCCCAGTCAGGGCGAATATGGGAGGCAACTGATCAATGGTTCTCTCTCTCTTTATCTATATCTCTCTTCCTCTCACTCTTTCCCTTCCTCTTTTACTCTTTCTAAAAAAAAGAAAAAATCAATAAACTTAAGGATTTTTTTTAAGTATCCATATGCTTTGTCAAAGAAGGCTTATAATACAGAAATGCAGCCCTAGCTAGTTTGAATTAGTGGATAAATCTTAGGCTCCTGGACTGAAGGGTGTCAAGGGAATGTACCTGTTTCAGGCTAGGTCCCTGGCCCTGGTTGGGGCAATGTGTTAGAGGCAAGTAATCAATGTGGTGTCTCACATTGATGTTTCTTCCTCAGTCTCTTCCCCACCCTTCTACTCACTCTAAAAATCAATGGGAAAATATACTCAGGTGAGGATTAACAACAAAAATAAAAAAATAGCCGAAACCAGTTTGCCTCAGTGGATAGAGTGTCGGCCTGGGGACTGAAAGGTCCCAAGTTCGATTCTGGTCAAGGGCATGTACCTTGGTTGCGGGCACATCCCCAGTAGGGGGTGTGCAGGAGGCAGCTGATCAATGCTTCTCTCTCACTGATGTTTCTAACTCTCTATCCCACTCACTTCCTCTCTGTGAAAAATCAATTAAAATATTTTTTAATATATATATAGACTTGTACTCTTTATGACTTTGAAACTTTCTGACTGAGAACTTAGTGTAAAGAAATACATTTTGCATCACAATCTAGTAAACAGATATATCTCTGTGTGTATCATAAAACAATACTCTCAACTCTATTTTCTATAAATTCTATTTCTTTTTTTTTAAATATATTTTATTGATTTTGTACAGAGAGGAAGGGAGAGAGATAGAGAGTTAGAAACATCGATGAGAGAGAGTCATCGATCAGCTGCCTCTTGCACACCCCCTACTGGGGATATGCCAGCAACCAAGGTACATACCCTTGACTGGAATCGAACCCGGGTCCCTTCAGTCCCCAAGCCGACGCTCTATCCACTGAGCCAAACCGGTCCCAGCAAATTCTATTTCTTTTTTGAATATTACTCCTGATCCAATAAGTTGTTTAATAACCCACTAATTGTTAAACCTAGAGTATGAAAAAGCATTACTCTTTAAGATTCAGCAGAGTGCTTTTCATATAGTGTAAATAAATGTGCTGAAAACATCAACTCGACCCTCCAATTATTCCTTTTATTTGGCCTTGGCAATGATATTTAGCATCCTACAAAGGCAAAATTAAATAGATTCTACAAAGCAATTATTGTTCAAAAAGGAAACCTGAGTGTTAAATCACTATTCTGAATAATCTTTCTTCAGCTATCAGACTTATTCTGAAATTTGCTTACGTGGCAGCCTGAGGGCGAACCACAACTCCACCAGTACAACGACTGGGTCTTCTCGGGGAATCCGTAGCCATAGCTTCATTCACAAAACCTATTTCCAGAACAAAAAACAAAAAAAACAAAAATCATTATTGTTGGGAGTAGGGAGAAAGGAAATCAAATTACCGAGATCTTTTTTTTTTTTAACCAAACCTCAGAACCACAAAACTAGCTAAGGCTCTTGCTGGACCCTTTGATCTACTGTTAAGATAAACTAGAAAAGTAAAAGAACCAGAGCATGGATGGGAAGTCTAGTGCAGGATCACTTTATAAAAACCTATGTAAGCCAAAATTTTTAAATGTACTGCTAACTTCTGTTGAGATAGTTAAAACACACATGGTACAATATTTCAAGACCAAATGGAACAGTAAGATAACACCATCCAACTAAGACTGTTGTAATCTGTAAGAAAGCATATTGTAACAGTGGTAATGGATCTTAACTAGGCTTACTGTGGCAATTGTTTTCAATATATACAAATACCAAATCATTATGCTATACATTTAAAACTAATATATCATATGACAATTATATCTTTAAAAAGAAGTCTGCATGGCCCCACCAGTGGTTGAGCTCCAAACCAGGAGGTCACAGTTCAATTTCTGATCAGGGCACATGTGCAGGTTTCCTGCTCCAGGACCAGCAGGGGGCGTGCAGGAGGCAACCGGTAGAAGGTTCTCTTTCATCATTAATGTTTCTATCTCTCCCTCTCATCCTCTCTAAAATCAATAAAAAATATATTTTTTAAATAAAGATTTTAAAAAAGACTGCATGGTCATAATTAGCAGAATATTTTAAAACAGTTGTATTTAACCCTCTGCTATTGGAACCTAATCACCAGTCTAAATAAGTTTAAAAAAAAAAAAAAATCCTTAAGAGCCCAAACCTGATTTAGCTCAGTGGATAGAGCGTCGGCCTGCGGACTGAAAGGTCCCGGGTTCGATTCCCGTCAAGGGCATGTACCTTGGTTGCGGGCACATCCCCAGTGGGGTGTGCAAGAGGCAGCTGATTGATGATTCTCTCTCATTGATGTTTCTAATTCTCTATCCCTCTCTCTTCCTCTCTGTAAAAAAAAAAAAAAAAATCAATAAAAATATTTTTTTAAAAAAACTTAAGAATTAGGGCTTCCTTTCCTCTCACATCACTGATTCCTCATCCCTAATAAGCATCTGAATCATTGGGGAGGTTTTAAGAGCATGGAGTGTATTTGGTTAAGGTTTAAAGGAGTACTGACAGCAATATTAAATATCTCTTACAGGGCTCAGGAGAGCCCCACAGCCTGGAACTAATTTTGAAAAGCCCCTAAAACCCTCACTTCTAAGTAGGGAGCATTCTACCACCTTATTTGACAACTTTGAAACTGATGAGTCCCACATGCTCCCACCAAAACACCCTTCACCCGAACCAGCCCAGATACCCCTTCCTCCATGAGTACCTGGTGTCACCCCCCAGCCCCTCAGCCCTCTCATTTCCACACCACCCTTTCTTTCCAGACACAGCCTGCCAAGAACTGTCCTGCGAGGGCCCTGTCTCCTGAAGGCGACCACGGCCAGTTCCTCAGGCCCCTCTCCCCTGAAAGTCACCAGGACAAGGCTGCCCACTTACCCTCCGACGCGGTGCCACCGCTGCCCCCCGGCCGCCCTCTGGCCCTTTGCCCTACCTCGCTCCCCTCCCCCTCCAATCGCCACCGCTTCCCCTCGCCCAATCCCTGCCAGTCAAGTCCCCTCCGCTCGCGCGGCTGGCCCCTCGTCCCCCCACGAGCCTCCCCAAAGACACAGCCCCGCCGAGCCTCTCACCGGCCGCCCGCCGGTAAACGCTGTTCTCCAGCTCAAGCCTCACTGTTTGGAGTCCCCTCGTGATTGACGGCTACCACTTCCTACCACGCCTCAACGGAACTACCTTTCTGGCCAATCCCAGGAGCGAACTGTCCGCGGCCGGGCACCGCCCTTCGAGGTCAGCTTCGCCAACCAGCGAGTAGGAAAGGGGCGGACCCGCCTCCTGAAACTAGCCAATCCGCTGGGGCTTCAGGAAAAACAAAACAGTATGTAAATTCGGGTAAAACCAAGGTGTCAAGTTCGGTTGCGAACGCCGGGCGGAGGCATTGCGGACATTGTGTATTTTCCGTCGCAGACAGCTCCTTCGTGGGTCTGTCCAAAAGCATCACGTCCCAGACTCCTGGGCACCTCACCTGAGCGCCTCAGGCTGGGTCTCCGAGGACCCGGACACTGGTCTGTTTACATAGAACTCTCGCGACAGCTGGTTAGAAGCCCCGAGCACGTGGACGTGGCAGCTGCCAATCACTTTTGGTTGGCCACTCATCCGTTCTGAGCCCGCCTTCTGCCCCGCCCTCGTCGATGTGTTTACCTTCCGGGAAGCTAGGATGGTAGAGGGTGGTGGGCAGTTCTGGAGCTTAGGCGGTGTGATTCTGGAGGAGGGACGCGGCAAGTAATCTCCTCAATTTAATCTAGTTTTTTTTTTTTTTTAATATATTTTATTGATTTTGTACAGAGAGGAAGGGAGAGAGATAGAGAGTTAGAAACATCGACGAGAGAGAGTCATCGATCAGCTGCCTCTTGCACACCCCCACTGGAGATATGCCCGCAACCAAGGTACATGCCCTTGACCGGAATCGAACCCGGGACCCTTCAGTCCCCAAGCCGACGCTCTATCCATTGAGCCAAACCGGTCCCGGCCAATTTAATCTAGTTTTATGAGCCACGCCTAACTCTTCCCTCTGCCTCCCATAAGGAAGACATCAAAATCTTGCTGGTGTTGTTTCGTTAGTTACATTTCTATGTAATAATGAATAAGAAGTATAGCATTTATTGCTTTATGGTACAAACGCTCAGTAAACACAAAGGCTCAAAGAAGGAAGTGAATTTTGAGTAAGAACGAGGAAAATACTATGGTTTAAGGCAAAGTGAACTAATATAGAAAACTAATTAGGAGAGGTAAGCAATGGCCAGTTGGTTTTGTACAGGATTTATAAGGAGTTTCAATTTTATTTTAGATTGAGAATAATTTTGAGGACTGTCATGATCGTATTTACATTTCTAAAAGATCATTTTACTTACTAAACAGAAAATAAATTTTTGTCAGGGAAGGGACGTTGGAAGCAGTGGATCAAGTATGGAGGCTGTTTCAGTAGAACAGGTGGGAGAAGGGGTCCGGAAGTGAAGCAGTAGACGTGAAAAGTTGTGAATTTCAGAATATTTTGGAAAAGAGAATTGAGAGATCTTGATAATGCATTGGATGTGGAATAGAAGGAAAAGAGAGAAAGGAGATGCCTGTGTTTTGAGCTTGAGCAACTGAGTGATGACATTTACAGATAGGATGAACAGTGATAAAGTTCCACATTTTGTTTTACATTTCAGATATATTGTATTTCTTCAAATTTATTGTTTATCAGGAGTGACTGAAATGAAAATATAATAGCGTCCATCATCATCATGGAAATGGCTTTAAGAGAAAATTGGTCAGAGGAATATTACTGCTTCCCATTGTCAACTAGTAAATAGTTGCATTTGAATTTCTTTGACTTGGTTTCATACTTTGTAAACTGTAGAAGGAATATTTATGTGTCTCATAGGATTTTTATAGGAGTAAATAAATTTAAAATTCTTAGAACCCCTTAGAAACTTCTCCAAATTAACTAATTACTAATTAACCAATGAATTAGTTCTAAGTCCTCCATTTTTTCTCTCTGCAGAGATAATGTGATTCTCTCATGAACCTTCAAATAAAAAATAAAATTTATGGTAATCATTTTTTGAATATGAATGCTTAGTACATATTGCCAGCTCATGAATCATTTCAAAGTTATGGGATCTGGGGAAACTTTTCAACAATCTGTTCTGACTGAGCAATCCTAGCTAGCAAATACATTTTCAGCATAAAAGAGTGAGTTCAAGTTAGAGTTCTGTGTTATCCTAGTTACTACAATGTCCACTATAATAAATCATTAATGACTAAAGTTGCCTTTCCTACAGTCCCCAGGGAATTATCAAGGAACTATCCACACATATGCCAACAAAATGTTAAGGTCACTTTTCATTTTATTGTGTATTTGTTTAGATAGGATTGGGTTTCCTTTTATTTTTTAATATATTTTTATTGCTTTCAGAGAGGAAAGGAGAGATAGAAACATCAGTGATGAGAGGGAACCAATGATTGACTGCCTCCTGCAGGTTGAACTGAGCCTGCAACCCAGACATGTGCCCTTGACCAGAATCGAACCTGGGACCCTTTAATCCGAAGGCTGATGCTCTAACCACTTAGCTAAACCACCTAGGGCTGGGATTCCTTTTTTAACCTCAAGCAAACCATTGCCTCACTATGGCCTCCAAAAACACTTAGATAATAATCATATGATTTAAGCAGTGGTGAAATAATCTGATTTCACCAGTCAAATAAAAGGAAAAACAGCCTTGAATGGTTTGGCTCAGTGGATAGAGCTTCGGAAGGGTCCCAGGTTTAATTCCGGTCAAGGGCATGTACCTTAGTTGTGGACACCTCCCCAGGAGGGTGTGTGCAGGAGGCAACTGATCCATGTTTCTCTCTCATTGATTTTTTTAAAAATATATTTTTTGATTTTTACCCAGATAGGAATTGAGAGGGATAGAGAGTTAGAAACGTCCATGAGAGAGAAACATCGACCAGCTGCCTCCTGCACCCCGCCACTGGGGATGGGCCCGCAACCAAGGTACGTGCCCTTGTCCGGAATCGAACCCTTCAGTCCGCAGGCCAATGCTCTATCCACTGAGCCAAACCGGTTTCAGCTCTCATTGATTTTTTAACTTTCTATCCCTCTCCCTCTCTAAAAAAATAAAATAGAATAAGGAAAAACAGATTTTTGGGGGAGTTGGTTAATCCTCACCCAAGGATATTTTTCCATTGATTTTTTAGAGTAAGGTAGACACATTGATTGGTTGCCTCCGGCACGCTCCCTGATCAGGGCCTGGGTGGAGGAGGAGACTGCAACCAAGGTATGTTCCCTTAACCAGAATCGAACATGGGACCCTTTGGTCTACAGGCAAACGTTCTATCCACTGAACCAGCTAGGGCAAGGAAAAACAAATTTTTTTAAAAAGTGGCTATATAATGTATCATTCTACCAATGAAACCTTGAAATGAGACACTGTAAGGGCTGAAAAAATAGAATATTGGGGACAAATTATGGTTATAATAAATATTAATCTTAACCATATTGCCTTGTGTTGGTTAAGAAAAGGACATTCTGACCTGGCTGGGAGTTGTAAGTCCCAGGGCCTGAAGTCAACCTTGGACCAGGGAGTCAACCTTGGATCTGGGAGTCAACCTTGGAATGGGATCCATTCTCATTCAACAATTGCCTATTATAAAAAGATTAACAACCATGTTGCCCAAACAATGGAGTCCCACCCCTGCCTTCTACTTCCCCATACCTGTGATCCCTACTTCCCTATGTAATCTTTGATTTTTGTGGGTGACGTGCAGCTCTCCCCTGATGCCGGCAGTATTGGAATAAATGCTCATATAAATAAAATTTATGGTAATCATTTTTTGAATATGAATGCTTAGTACATATTGCCAGCTCATGAATCATTTCAAAGTTATGGGATCTGGGGAAACTTTTCAACAATCTGTTCTGACTGAGCAATCCTAGCTAGCAAATACATTTTCAGCATAAAAGAGTGAGTTCAAGTTAGAGTTCTGTGTTATCCTAGTTACTACAATGTCCACTATAATAAATCATTAATGACTAAAGTTGCCTTTCCTACAGTCCCCAGGGAATTATCAAGGAACTATCCACACATATGCCAACAAAATGTTAAGGTCACTTTTCATTTTATTGTGCATTTGTTTAGATAGGATTGGGTTTCCTTTTATTTTTTAATATATTTTTATTGCTTTCAGAGAGGAAAGGAGAGATAGAAACATCAGTGATGAGAGGGAACCAATGATTGACTGCCTCCTGCATGTTGAACTGAGCCTGCAACCCAGACATGTGCCCTTGACCAGAATCGAACCTGGGTCCCTTTAATCCGAAGGCTGATGCTCTAACCCAACGTTTTTCAACCGCTGTTCCGCGGCACAATGTTGCCTGGTGTGCCGTAGGTGCAGACAAGACAAGAATTTTATAATTTTTCACTATTTTGTTTACTTAATATTTTATAATAAAGTAATTATAAAATACTTTCTTTGTGTTTATTTGATTCCTATTCAAGAGAATTACTTTATATATAGTCAATATAGGCACAGAGTTAAATTTTTTAATATTTTCTAATGGTGGTGTGCCTCGTGATTTTTTTCATGAAACAAGTGTGCCTTTGCCCAAAAAAGGTTGAAAAACACTGCTCTAACCACTTAGCTAAACCACCTAGGGCTGGGATTCCTTTTTTAACCTCAAGCAAACCATTGCCTCACTATGGCCTCCAAAAAACACTTAGATAATAATCATATGATTTAAGCAGTGGTGAAATAATCTGATTTCACCAGTCAAATAAAAGTAGTGACAGGCAGCATGGACCCACTGATTGTCCAGTTAAAATGCTGCTAATAAATAATTCAACCAATTTTTTAAAAAAGGTAAAGGACACACTTACATTCTTCTTTGTGGAGATGGGAGGACAAAGAGAGATAAACCAAAGACTTTATATACTTACTGAAGGCCCAATGTACCAACTCATGCATGGATTGGGTCTGGCTGGCCTGTCCTGATTGGCCAGTTGGGCTGAGCTGGCCAGGGGGGAGGGGATGCCAGAGGTTGGCCCGCTGGCCCACCCCCATGGTTGAACTCCTGGTCAAGGGGGCAATTTACATATTAGCCTTTTGTTATATAGGCTATACATTAAAAAAAATAAAAAGGAATAAAAATTAAAAATTAAAAATTAAAAAAAAGAATATGCATAGCCCAGGGACAAGGACAAAAAGTTGGTGATGACCTGTGGGGGGTAGAAAAAGGCTGGATGGAGGGGATTAAAAGGAAAGAAAATGGGAGACATCTGTAATACTGTCAACAATAATAAATAAATTGCCGGGACCGGTTTGGCTCAGTGGATAGAGCGTCGGCCTGCAGACTGAAAGGACCCGGGTTCGATTCCGGTCAAGGGCATGTACCTTTGTTGTGGGCAGGTCTCCAGTAGGGGGTCTGCAAGAGGCGGCTGATCAATGATTCTCTCTCATCGATGTTTCTAACTCTCTATCCCTCTCTCTTCCTCTCTGAAAAATCAATAAAATAAAAAAATATTTAAAAAAAAAACAATAATAAATAAATAAATCCTTTAAAAAGGTAAAAGATGCCCTAGCTCAATTTGTTGAGTGTCATCCAATGTACTTAGAGGTCACTGGTTCGATTGCCTAGATGGGGCCTGGAGGAGGCAGCCAATCAATGTTTATCTCTATCCTTCCTCTCTCTCTAAAAACAAAAAAAAAACCAAAAAATGCAGTAAAAACATATCTAAACAAACAAAAAAGGTAAAGGTTAAAGTAGGATTGTCCCAGGCAAATTTTGAAGAGCAGTTGCCCTCTGTCTCTCACACATCAGTACTGCTTTGTAACTATTCTCTGTTGATGAATGTATCATTCTATCATCTATGTAACTAAAATGTAAGCTCTTTAACAGAAGAGATTATTTGTTTCATTTTTGTTCTCCATAATGCTCTATTCTCCAACATGAAAAATTACATGTCAAAACCCAACAATTTATCCTGAAATGTGGAACTGATATTTATAATTAAATATACCAGGAAGTAAAAACTATTGACAAAGACCAAAAATTAGTTTCAACTCTTTTAATGATCTCCAGAACATATTTACCTTCCCCATTTATTATCTTCCCCATTTAACCCTGAATAAAAACTGCTTTAAAATTTGAAATAACTTGCTCTAGCTGGTTTGGCTCAGTGGATAGAGCGTCGGACAGAGAGGAAGGGAGAGGGATAGAGAGTGAGAAACATCAATGAGAGAGAAACATCAATCAGCTGCCTCCTGCACACCCCTTACTGGGAATGTGTCCACAACCAGGTACATGCTCTTGACTGGAATCGAACCTGGGCCCCTTCAGTCCGCAAGCTGACACTATCCACCAAGCCAAACCAGTCAGTACTACCCCTGTCTTCTAATTCACTAATTGGATCCTCAGCTTTCCCTAATCTGCTGTGTATCCCTTCCAATATGTTCTTTATTTGTGCTATGTCATTTTTTATTTCTGTTTTCGTAGTTACTATATCTTTTCTCATGCTTTTGAGCAACTTTACCACCATTACTCTGAACTGTGTTTCAGATAAAATTCTTATCTCTATTTCATATCTCTTCTGGAGAATTCTCTTGTTCTTTCATTTGGAGGTTGTTTCTTTGTCTCCTCATTTTGGCTTCCTTCTTGGTTTTGTGACTATGTATTAGGTAGATCTGCTATGCCTCTCAAATCTCTAGTATGACAGTGTCAAACACTGTTTCTGACTGATTAGATCAGGCAGATTCAAAGCTTCTAGAGACCACCTCTCCCTACTTGTTCTTCAGGCAATCATCCTGAGCTTTGGAGAGAGTTTTTTCAGTAGGGTGGAACAGTTGCTTCTGCCTGGTGCTAATGGTTATTTTTGGTCTTTTAAGTGGCCTGGGGAACTCCACATTTCCAATAGGGGGGGGTCAACTGTTTTTCCCCCAGGCAAGGCCACCTGTATGGCAAATGTCTGTGTGGGAAAGATTTCAGCTGCATGAGGGAATGACTCAGCACAGGAAACTGGGGTGTCTGCCTTCTGAGCTCTAACCCGAGCCCCCAATCCTGGCTTCTGTTCGCACAGCTCCAGTCCACTCTGCCCTCTCTCTGCTGGAGCACAAGGTAGCCAGGGCCCTTTAAGAGGGTGCCTGAATTTCCATCCATCACTCCCTGGCAGACAGCAACCACGTTGCTTCTCACAGCCAGATGTTATGTGGATACCCTTCTCAGTTCTGGTGCTCTCTGTTGGGGGCCCAGCTTGGGGATTAGACCCCAGAGTTCTCAATGGCAACTCCCATAGCTGAGGTCTATCTCAGGAACTTCAGTTGCTGTCAGTGGGCACTTGGGCAGCCCTTTCATGCTTTCTCTCCTCCTATCAGTCTCTATGCGGTCTCCATTCTTAGTCCTAGGGTATCAGGATTCTCTCCAGCGAGTTTTCTGTTGATTATTCAGTTTTTTCTGTATTTTAGTTGTAATTCCAATTTGTTCCTGGGAACATGTCCATGCATTATCCACTTACTCTATCACCATTTTAAATCTCCAAAACCATATTTTCTATTTGAGTTTCAAAATTTTGCTATTTCGTGTTTATTAGTCAGTTGGAAGATGATCTTGAAGGTCTCCTATATTCTTTCTAGATTGTGATGGACTACCTCCAAGATGGCCAATAATGACACCCACCTTTTAGTATTCATAGCATGTGGTTGCCTCTTGCATTTATCTGTGTGACTAATAAAATGCAACTAAATTAACATGGTACCTCTGAGGTTGTTACAAAAGACATTGTGGTTTCTGTCTTACTCATTTTTTAAAAAATGTTTTTATTGATTACAAAGAGTGGAAGAGAGAGGGAGAGAAACATCAATGATGAGAATTATCGATCAGTTGCTTCCTGTATGCCCCCTACTCAGGACTGACCCCAAAATCTGAGCATGTGCTCTTATCAGGAATTGAACTATGATCTCCTGGTTCATAGGTCAACTCTCAACCACTGAACCACACCAGCAGGGCTCTACTTTGTTCTTTTTAAAAAACATATTTTATTTCAGAGAGGAAGGTAGAGGGAGAGATAGAAACATTAGTGATGAGAGGGAATCATTTATTGGCTGCCTCCTGCTGCCCCTACTGGTGATCAAGCCTGCAACCCAGGCATGTGCCTTTGATTGGAATCAACCAGGGACTCTTCAATCGCAGGTCAACACTCTTTCCACTGAGCAAATTAGCAAGGGCTGTTTGTTATTTTAAGCTACTGAATTTTGAGGTATTTTTATGCAGCAATACAGAACTAAAACATTTTTTTCATAACTACCATATTTTCATCTGTAAGGCATGAAATAAATAGGTCAAGAACCTGTTCTTCAAAATATTGAAAAAGAAAGTTAATGGACATTATTGTGGAAAGCCCTATGAAGGGGCACATCTGGCAAGGAACTGAGGCCTCTTACCAACAAATTATAAATCCTGTAGATTGGGTTGTAGAAACCCTGATTTATAGCCACTTGATCAAAAGTATATGTGATTTGTAATTGGTATCTGAAATGGGTGCAGTCTTCTGAGACTGAACTCTTAATTTGTGGGTTCTGATAACTCCAGGTAGATACAAAAACTGAATTTAATTGTAGGACATCCAGTTGGTGTCTCAGAAATTAGAGAATTGTTTGGTGAGGAAAACCCATATATCTTGTGTCAGAGTATTCTGTGAATAAAGGAAGAAATAGTGTTTTCCTTTTAGTGGACATAGTTACTTAGTGGCAAAGTAAAATATCCACAGACTAGGCAGAATCCAATATAATAAAAGGCTAATATGCAAATCAACCAAACAGAACAACCAGTCACTATGACACACAATGACCACCAGAGGGCAGATGTTCAATGCAGGAGCTGCCCTCTGGTGGTCAATGCACTCCCACAGGGGTAGGGCTGCTCAGCCAGAAGCCAGGCTCACAGCTGGCGAGCACAGTGGTGGTGGCGGCAGGAGCCTCTCCCACCTCTGCAGCAGCGCTAAGGATGTCTGACTGCCGGCTTAAGAGAGCGGGCCTAAACCATCAGTTGGACATCCGCCAAGGGCTCCTGGACTGCGAGAGGGCACAGTCTCGGTTGAGGGACATCTCCCCCGCCTCCCCAATCAAGTGCTTGAGGCTCTGTAATGTACTGCTATGGACACAATCTTAAAAAGATAAGATTAAGCAATAAACACATAGTGCAGTCTATGCATAGATTATCAGAGAGAATACACAAAAAAGGGAGGAAATACTGGTGGCCTTGGGAACTGAGGTGGCGTTCCTTCATTATGTACCATTTTATACATCATGAATTTTCCATCATGCAGATGTTACATAGGCAAGTAAAATTTAATAAAAATAGAAACGTTAAAACATTTGTGATTACATAACATCTTCAACTCCTTAAAGAACATATCCCAGGGAACACATATAGAAAGGAGCTAATTTTAGCTTCTGCATTTATGTGTGTCAAGCCAAAAATGTTTCCAGTATTAGATAACTACTGGTACGGTATATAATTAGACTCTAATACACTAAAAATGTGATCTATGAAAGAATTAATGCTGTAGCATTTTTGCATTAAAGATTAATTTATCCATTACTTTAGTCAAATGGAAATTTTAATATAGACAGGATTAGATTGTTATCTTTAAAACCACTGGCAAAAACGGTGAAAAAGAGCTAAACAGATTTTCCCTGCTTTTACTATACATTCAGATTTGTTGAATTTTTAAAAAATATATTTTATTGCTTTTTTAGAGAGGAAAGGAGGATAGTTGGAAACATCAATGACAGAGAAACATCATCAATCAGCTGCCTCCTGCACACCTCCCACTGAGGATGTGCCCGCAACTAAGGTACATGCCCTTGACCAGAATCAAACCCAGGACCCTTCAGTCCGCAGGCCGACACTCTATCCACTGAGCCAAACCTGTTAGGGCAGATTTGTTGAATTTCTACATGGACCAGCTAACATGGTATTACAGATCTAATTTATGGAAAAACCCTTCAAAATAAATTGACTTAAAAAATGTTTCTAAGTTGCTATGTCTCTCTCTTGAAAGATCTGAAAAACAATTATCCAAAAATCCTTTTATTTTTTTAAGGGATTGAACCCAGAACCTTGGATGATGCTCTAACCAGCAAGCTATCTGGCCAGGGCCCAAAATACCTTTTTAAAAACTAGCCTCAATTAAAGTTTTACCCAGACTACTGCTTCTCAATTATTTTTCTTATGGAAAGTAGTATGCTTCCAATTGTTCAGTACCTAGCATATTATATTGATAGTTATACCAGGAGCCCAGTGCATGAATTCATGCACCCTGAAAGGAATCGCAAGGTTGAGGTGGGCACAGGAACAATTCTGGCCCATCCTCCTCACCCCCATCAGGCCCCTCCTGCTGACAGTGCCCGGCCCCGCTTGCACCCGCTGCCAACGCGGAGCGATTGTGATCAGTGCCAGCAGCGTGTGAGAATAGGGCCAGTGCCGTCAGCAGGTGTGAGCAGCGACTGCTGCCCTGATTGTCCCTCAAGAGCACAGGGAAGGTGGAGAAGCTCTAATGGGCAATTGGGGCTGGCAGCAGGGGCGAGCAGGGCTGGTGCCAGCAGTAGGTGCCAGTACCTGGCAGGACAGAGGTGCATAGGAGCAAAGAATTTTCAGTAGCCACCAGAGGCTCGCCCTGATGACAATGATAGGGGCCCCACCTTGGTCTGGTGTTTCTGTTAACCTACTCCACCATCTCGCAACGGCTGATGCCCACAATGTTTCCTGCTCTGCCACCTGCTGCTGATGCTCGCCATGTTCTGCATGCACCCCATGATGGTCAGCACACGTCATAGCAATTGTTTTTCAGTTGTTTCACTATTTGCATATTAGGGTTTTATATATGTAATCAACTCTTCAATCTTTCAATGAGAGACATCCTAAATAAATTTTTAAAAATTCCTCACTGTAGAATAGGGGTGTCGAACTCAATCAGAGAAGGGGCCAAAATCTAAAACCCAGCCTAAATCACAGGCCAAATGGTTTACTGAACAGTCATAAACTGTCACTGTGATGGAAACGCAGCGGAGTGCAGTGATGACAGCGCGGTGCGGGCCACATTGCAAGGCCTGGCGGGACGGATTTGGCCCGTGGGCCTTGTGTTTGACACATGTGCTGTAGAACAATTCACCACACTAAAATGACTTACTTAGTATTTTAGTATTAATTCTTTTAGTTTTTTATACATTACCAAAGTAGTTTTATTCACTTTTAATTGCAATGTCATCAAATGTTATAAGCCATAACTGACTTAATCATATTCTTACTGTTAAGATGTTTAGCCTGTTTTGATGAACAATGCATTTATTTTAAGTTACTCTAAAAGCACGATATGGCACAACAGAAAGTTTATATATATCATTAAAGCCAACAATAAAAATCCAGCAATATCACAATTTACTGATTTATTAGCTGAACAAACATATTTCCATATAATCAATGAAACTATATGATATATGAAATAATTTAAGAAATGTTGGGAATTAGCAGCACCATCCATTATTGAAATAGCAATAGAAACTTCACACATATTTTATGCAAATACTAGAAGAGGGTAACTACTTTAAGACCTAATAATGCCACTGAATGTCTGGGATAACTGAGTGGGGCATTTTTTTAGGGAAACAAACCTTCTATTCCAAAGGTTTAGTGAATGTATCTGATGATTATTGTTTTTAGAAAAATGCTACTGAAATAAAAGATAGTGCATAGTATTTTAATTAGGACAAGAAGACTAAAAGCCAGCTACTTCTGCTTCTATGAAAAATTTAGTTCTGAATTATGAAATTAGAAATAAAAAATAATTTTTAAAAGACAGTCTCTAAGAAACATTAAGTGGAACACAGATCACTATGAAAATACGTCACTTTCCAGTTTGCTTAATAATTTACTTTAAAAAGTTCATCACAAGTGACTAAATAAGCATTTTTAAAAGTTTAAAACCTTTAGCCCTGTCGTTATAATTACTGTGTATCAGAGTAAGAGACTGAGTTTGTGTGAAGGATACAAATTTACACACATTTTACAGCAACATATACCCTAACATCTATAAAATTCACATTTATAATACAAGCAAGTACAAGGCCAAGATTAAACTGTTGAATTCAAAAAAGTCAAACTGTATACCATTTTTATTTTGTCCTTTTTAAAAAAAAGTTCATTTTCGGCACCATCTTCAAAAGCCTTATATCCTAAATTTGGAAAAAAGACATTTTTCAGACAAAGTTCAGCAAACACAAACAGTTTTTCGGTGCTGGTGAAGTAAAGGATTTCCAATTTTCTTCTGGCCCCTAAGTCTGCGTCGCATGGTAAGTTTAACAGAGTTCTTTCGCTGTGAAGTTGTGGCAAGGCTTGCAGGCTGAGCATTATTACTTCGACTTAAACCATTTCGTTTATGCTTCTTCATAAGAGGGCCAGAATTGGATTCTTCTAATGTCCTTTTAAAGTTTGCTGGAGGGGTTCTTTCAACTTCTTGGGCTTTCATTTGACCTGAAGTTGACATCTTTATATTTTTCTGGTCCATGATGGTGTTTGTTGAATTGGTAGGCACCAGGCCAACTGACAGGCTATTATTCAAAGAATCATGTATCCTTAATGTCAGGGCTTTAGTGCAATTTTCTTCAAGTGGCTCTGTATCTTTTGAGGGTAAGACTGCAGCCTGGACATTCCCTCGAGCCACCTCAGTTGGGACTTCTAAGTAGTTCTCTGAGAAGGCATTACTACGAACAAGGGCAGGTATATGGTCCTTAGAGTTCAGTCTTGACCAAGGGTCCTCCTCCATTGACTGAAAAACAAGAACGTAAACCAAGTAAGAAATCACTTATCCTAGAACTCAGCCTGACCCTTGGGAAGATGAAGGGTTTCATTAGAATAAATGACAAATTTGGCTTTTTCCTACTTTCTATAGTCTAATTTCTGAATATTTAGTAGAGTGGAAAATATATAGTGCAACATTAAAGCAACTATTCCATAAGGAAACTCACATTGTTGCTTTGTACCCTACTGAGCATGGCTGGAGCTACTTTCTATAAAATAAGTGAAGATCATTTAGAAACTCTCATATATTGCTTTTTAGAAGCTTCATAGGTAATTCAGATAATGTACAACTCCTTTAGCTGTTCAGCTCTAGATATACATAGACTATCCTCTCATCTCCAGTCAAATAAGAACACTCTTCCTATCAAACCAAATCTTCCACTAATATCTTATAAAATCATTGTCTTGCCCTAGCCTGTTTGGCTCAATGGATAAGAGTGTTAGCCTGTGGACTGAAGAGTCCCAGGTTTGATTCCAGACAAGGGCATGTACCTCAGTTGCAAGCTCGATCCCTGGTCCTGGTCTGGGCACATGCAGAAGGCAACCAATCGATGTGTCACTCTCATACAGATGTTTCTCTCTGTCTCTCCAATCCCTTCCACTCTAAAAAGTCACTGGAAAAATATCCTTGGGTGAGGATTTATGGCATCATTTGTCTTATAGTTTCTCAAGAACAGAATTTAAGCATAAACACTATCTTCCCCCCACCACCACCATATGCAACATTTTCCTCAATCACTTCCTCTCTTCTCAAATAAATTATTAATATATATTCTTGCCCTAGCCACTTTGGCTCAGTAGAGTGAGCAATGGCCTGCAGATGGTGCCAAGATGGCTCACTGACAATAAGTTACATGACAAAAATTCATCAGGTTCTTGAGACTAGTTCAAATCCAAAGTCTTATTATATAAGAATTCTGAAAACTGTTTTCAAGTAACACTAACCAAAGAAACTCTACCTATTAAAATAACTTAAATACTATAGAACTATATACCTTGACTGGTGGTGTAGAACTTGGGGAAGAAGTCCGCAGGCTGGTTTCTTGACTATTATAGGAAGGGCTATCTGTTAGGTTCAGATAGAGCTCATCATCATTGGTGAAATTTCCCTGACTACCCACTCCTGGAGAGATGCAGATTACTATGGCACTGGTATTATCTGCTCGAAGCATCCGCTGCCTCCAGCGGCCTAGTGCTCGATTCACAAGCATTTTGGCACAAGATTGTCCATGCTCACCACCCTATATTTAAAAGAAGGAGATGGAAGTCAACCACTCAAATTTAGTCACCACTACACATGTACCAAATTAAATATTTGATGTTCAATAAGAACTAAATTAAATTTTCAAAATTTCAAACATTAGCCATAGATCCTAAAACTACATCAAAGTCAGCCAAAGCCGGTTTGGCTCAGTGGTAGAGCACCGGTCTGTGGGCTGAGAGGTCCCAGGTTCGATTCCGGTCAAGGGCATGTACCTTGGTTGCGGGCACATTCCCGGTAGGGGGTGTGCAAGAGGCAGCTGGTCGATGTTTCTCTCTCATCAACGTTTCTAGCTCTCTATCTTTCTCCCTTCCTCTCTGTAAAAATTCAATAAAATATATTTATATTAAAAAAAAAAACCTATGTCAAAATCATACTATTCTAAATTTTCAAAAGATAATAAAGCTTATTCTATAGATTTCACCTGTATTTTTATCTTTTTGGTATCAAGAAATGTGTCTTCACTGTAACACTAGTTACAGTTATTAAAGAAAAATTACATATAGTTAAGACAAAGTTAAATAGAAGTTATCTAAAAAGCAAAGTAAACATCAAGTTATAAACAATTCACAAATTATTACAATCAAGTATGGCAACAAAAATCTCATTGCAAAATGCCAATTTCCTCCTAAAATAAGAGCTTCTGAAAATCAAAGAGAATGACCCAAAATAAAAATTGTCAAAGGAGCCGGGACTGGTTTAGCTCAGTGGATACAGCATCGGCCTGCGGACTGAAAGGTCCCAGGTTCAATTCCGGTCAAGGGCATGTACCTTGGTTGCAGGCACGTCCCCAGTGGGGGGTGTGCAGGAGGCAGCTGGTCGATGTTTCTCTCTCATTGACGTTTCTAACTCTCTGTCTCTCTCAATTCCTCTCTGTGTAAAATCAATAAAATATATTTTTTTAAAAATTGTCAAAGGATATAAACAAAATTCAGAGACAAGGAAATATAAATGACCCTTAAACATATATTTTTAAATGGTCAGTGTCATTCATAGGAGAAAAAAAGCAACACAATAAGTTTTTATGGTATAGAGATCAAATACAAATCAACAGAAAGAGTAAAAAAATCTTAAATGACTTCATATTATGCAAATAAATGTAGTTTGGAAGAAAACTTTCAGTGTCACACATGGAATCATCATGGCTAATTTCAGAGAACAGAAATGAAAATGCTGTGCTCCAGAAAATAGGACTACATGTCTTACAAAGTATCCCTGGAAATAACTGAATTATGAAAATGAGTGGAATTGGTTGAAAAAGAAATATATCATGGATATATAAAAGTGGGAAAATATTTTAGTTATTTTATGTAACCTAATAAGATATATTAACATACTCTTAAGTACATATTAATGTATTATTATATACTAAATGTATACTATATGATCTACTATCTAGTACTTTAAGCATTACATATAAAATATATATTATCTATATTGTATATATATTCAAACTGGATAAATAACTGGGATGTATTTTTTTTATCCTTTCCTTGATAAAAAAAAAAATAGGGAAACATCTTTACTTGCTGTTGTCTGATCTTAAGTATATTACAGTATTTCGTCACAGTAATGATGGCAAACTAGAAATAACTCTTCTCAGTTGCTTTATTTAAAACCTTAATTAGCCTGGCCAGTGTAGCTCAGTGGTCGAATACCAACCTATGAACCAGGAGATCTCAGATTCCCACTTGGGGCACATACCCAGCTTTCGGGCTCAATCCCCAGGAGGGTGGGTGTAGGAGGCAATGATCAATGATTCTCTCTCATCATTTATGTTTCTATCTCTCTCTTCCTTTCTGAAATCAATAAAAATGTGTTTAAAAATAAATAAATAAAATCTTATTATCTTGCATCCCCAAAATAAGTATCATTTTGTAATGATTTTTCAAATACTGCCTTTATTTCTCAATTTCTCATATGAAAAAACATGCACCTCACAAATGACGAAAGGCAGCACTAATTTCTCATTCATAAATCTAACACATTCCCCAGTACATGTTTCATCATTGCCCAAATAGTAGTTCACGGAGAAGGTCCTTTCACTTTTTCAGTGTGCCTCTGTAGTTCCCTCCCAAGCAAAGCTCCATGAAAAAAAAAAAAATCTGTATAAGCCAATACCACTACTTACTTAAAATCTTCCCTCAGCTCACTGCTTCAGCTGATTATTTGAGCCCCTCTAATATTGTGTCCTTTTTTATTTTATTTTTAAAATATTTTTTAGTTGACCAGAGAGAGAGGGGGAGAGGGAGAGAGGCGGAAGCATTGATTAAAATGTTCTGGGATTAAATAGTGGTGATGGTTACACAACTGAGAATGCACTAACAATCACTAAATTATACACTTTAAAAGGGTAAATAAATGTTAGGGTGTAAAATATATCTCAATTAAAACAGAATTGGTGAGGTTTCAAATTCATCGAGGGCTATTCATAATGATGTCAGTCGTTATGTCTTTTGTTACCTAGTTTTATATATTTCCTGCCTCGCCCCACTAATAAGCTGCAAAAGCTATGTTTTGCTTACTTCTAAAGCCAGGCCAATGCAAATATCTACTTACTTAAGGTAAACAAAAAGCACCAGAACAATGTATGTATACACAATAGTAGCAAATTCCTGAGTCACTTCTCACCATTAAATATTTTTTCTCCTCTTGGTCCTGGCACATTGAGATGGCATCTTGAGGTGGAATCATATTCCAAAGTCCATCACTCCCCAAGATAATATACTTGTGCTTCTGGGGATCAAGAGTGTGAACACTTGTGTCTGGTTCAGGTGACACTACAAATTCACCACTGAAGAAATCATAGCTCCACAAATCACCTGAGAGCAGAAGCAGCAAGAAATATTATTTCCATAATAGTAGTATCACATCAACAGATTAAAAGAAAAAATATACATGTTCATTTCAATAGGCCCAGAAAAGTGATAACATTCAAAATTTATTCATGATACTTTTAAAAAAGCTTCCTAGCAAAATAGAGATTTAAAGTAACTCCCTTAACCTGATAAAGAATATGTCTTCTACCACCACTTCTATTCCAATATTATACTGGAGACCCTTTCCAGCAGAATATGATAAAAATAAATCAGATATATAAATCAGGAAGGAGAAAATAAAACTATCATTATTTGCAAAAAGTTGTTAAATACAAACCCTATATATATAAAAGTCAACTGTAGCCGAAACCGGTTTGGCTTAGTGGATAGGGTGTCCATTGGTCTGTGGGCTGAAAGGTCCCAAGTTCGATTCCAGTCAAGGGCATGCACATTGGTTGCGGGCACATCCCCAGTAGGGGGTGTGCAGGAGGCAGCTGATCGACGATTCTCCCTCATGGATGTTTCTAACTTTCTATCCCTCTCCCTTCCTCTCTGTAAAAAATCAATAAAACATATATTTTTTAAATAACATAAAATGTAATAATTCAAACCAGAATCCCCCCCAAAAATTTAAGATTTTTTAAAAATTGATTTTTAGAAAGAGGAAGGAAGAGGGAGAGAGAGAGAAACATCCATGTGAAATCAAATGAATAAAGGATCAGAATTAAGCTTTGAACTAAAATAGAATCAGAATGTCATTCCCATGCATACTTAACAGAGGGCCTTGGGCACTGTGGCAAATACTGTTGGTTGCTTGTCAATAGTCATTTCCCTTTCATCCTCAGTAGGGACACTGGGGAACACCAGAGGAGAAAGGCCTTCTGATTTCAGTATGTTCTCTGCTTACTCCTGTGGCACATGGCAGCCAGTCAGTGTGCAGGACACCCAGTTGTCTGTACCCTTAGTGAATTTCAGCACCCCACCCCCTGTGAGTAGCTTTCCATGGAAAGCTTTCCAGCAACTGTTGCCTCACCAAATCCATTCTCAAAACTGCAACCAAAACCATCTCTTTAAAACTTAAATTTAAAATGGATGGGGTGATGGCTGCACAGCAATGTAAACGTATTTAATACCACTAAACTGCACATTCAAAATTGTTAAGACAGTCAATTTTGTTATATGTATTTTGCTATAATTTAAAAAACACAAAAATCTACTTATATATTTCCCACTCCAACTTTGAAATAGTTTACTCTTGTTCTTAAAGATATCCAGACTACAAAAATGCATTATTTTCTCATTTTACCCATGCCTCTTATTCCCATATCTCTGTTCCAGCTACCATGGCCTTCATTAGAGTCCCTTTTATATTTACCATAGTTCTCATGTCACAGAGCTGTTCACAAATTCCGCTCCTATGCCTAGAACACACTTTCTTCCTCTTATGTATCTTTTTTTTTTTAATATATTTTATTGATTTTTTACAGAGAGGAAGAGAGAGGAACAGAGAGTCAGAGACATCGATGAGAGAGAATCATCAATCAGCTGCCTCTTGCACAGGGATGTGCCTGCAACCAAGGAACATGCCCTTGACCAGAATCGAACCCGGAACCTTTCAGTCCGCGGACCGATGCTCTACCACTGAGCGAAACCGGCTTCGGCACACTTTCTTCCTCTTTAAAAAAAAAAAAAAAAAAAAAAAAAGATTTATTTACTAGTAATTAATTTCAGACAGGAAAGCAGAGATAGAACATCAATAATGAGAGAGAATCACTGAATGGCTGCCTACTGTAAGCCCTCCACTAGGGATCGAGCCAGCATCCTGGGCGTACACCTTGACCTGGAATCGAACTGTGATCTCCTAGTTCATATTCATAGGTTGACACTCAACCACTGAGCTACATTAACTGGGCTCTTCTACTCTAAATTTCTAGTAATTCTTTAGGCCTCAGTTCAAACATCATTGCTCTGATATCTCCAGTTATGTAAAATACCCCCTTTTGAAATTTTATTTAGCACATATGCAAGCACTTTTTTTTTTTTACAAGCACTTGTTATAATTGTAAGTTATTTTTGTGATCATTTGATGAATGCCTCTACCCTTCTCTAAACTGTGAGCTTCCCGAAGGATCCAAGATGGCTGCGCCCAGGTGAACACCTAGCCGCAGCCGCACACAACAATTTCAATAAAATACAACTAAAATATATAACGGACATTGCCCAGAACTACAGGAAGGTTGACTGACTGGAAATTCTACAGCGAGAAGCAAGGAGAAAACCAGAAGGAGGCGCGGAGGAGCTGGAAAAGCCCAAGGTACGGAGACGCGGCGCTCGGAGAGGACGGAGCCGGAGAGGAGGGAGAGGCGGAGTGCCTGGCTGGCGTTCCCTAGCGGAAAGGAGATAAAACTCCGACTGTGCTGGGCCCCCGACTGCTCTGAACCCCAGTTCTAGGCCAGACCCCGGGGACTCAGGCTCAGCCATAGGGAGCCGGGCTGTAAGGTGGAACCCCGGGGAGAGGCGAAAGGAGGTCCCGGAGGCGCGCACACTGTGCCGCGGGATTGCCCTGACGGGAAGGAGACCTGGGCTCCAGACTGCTGTGAACGCCACCTCCAACTCCACTTCCAACTGAACTGAACCCCAATACCGGGCTCATTGGGGGAGAGCATAGACTGTCTGGCAGCAGGCGAAAATCGAGGGCACCTTTCTCTCAGAGGTGCTGGCAGCGAGCACTGAAGGACCCGCATAGGGCGGGGCTGACAGAAGCCAAAGCTGCAGGCTCCACCCTGAAACCCCGTCCCATCTGTAACTGCGAAATGCGACAACAAAATAGATCACAAACGAAAGAAATAGAGGACAAAAAGCATCTGGATATAGAGTTCAAATCTACGCTTATAAGGTTTTTCAAGAATTTCCTAGAAAAGATGGATAAGGCCTATGAGGATATGAAAAGAGATCAACTAGAATTAATAAGGAGTCAACAAGAAATGATAAGGGATCAACAAGAAATAAAGAATACATTGTCTGAAATAAAAAATATTCTACTGAGTCCTAAAAACAGAAGGGAAGATCGCAAGAATCAAGTCAAAGATTTGGAACATAAAGAGCCAGAAGACACTCCTCCACAGAAGCTAGAAGGCAAGAGAATTCAGAAAATTGAAGATAATGTAAGAAACCTCTGGGACAACTTCAAGCGAACCAATATCAGAATTATGGGGGTCCCAGAAGATGAGAGAGAGCAAGATATCAAAAACATACTGAAAGAAATAGTGACAGAAAACTTCCCCCACCTGGTGAAAGAATTAGACTTACAAGTCCAGGAAGTGCACAGGACTCCAAACAAAAGGAATCCAAAGAGGACCACACCGAGACACATCATTATTAAAATTGCAAGAGCAAAAGACAAAGAGAGAATATTAAAAGAAGCAAGAGCAAAGAAGGTAGTAACCTATAAAGGAGCACCTATACGATTGTCAGCTGACTTCTCAACAGAAACCATGCAGGCCAGAAGGAAATGGCAAGAAATATTCAAGGTGATGAATAGCAAGAACCTACAGCCAAAAATAATCTACCCAGCAAAGCTATCACTCAGAATCGAAGGCCAGATAAAGAGCTTCACTAATAAAAAAAAGCTAAAGGAGTTCATCACCGCCAAACCAGAATTATATGAATTGCTGAAGGGGGTTCTTTCAGAAGAGAAAGTAAACAAAGATAAAAATTATGAACAACAAATACGTAACTATCAACAAGTGAATCTAAAAACCAAGGAAATTAAAAAAATCTGATGAACAATATTAACTGTTGAACATAATAGAATCAGAGGTATGGAAGGGGAGTGAACTGGCGATTCTTGGAGAAAAGGGGAGAAGGGGGCGTGGGAAGAGACTGAACATAAACTGTGCACCTATGGATGAGGACAATGGGGAGAGGGGAAAGGGCAGAGGGTGGGGTGGGAACCTGGTGGAGGAGAGCAATGGTGGGGGGGAGGGGGAAAGGAACATTTGTAATAATATGAACAATAAAAACTTATTAAAAAAAATAAAAATAAAAAAATAAAAAATAAAAAAAAATAAAAAATAAACTGTGAGCTTCCATGAGGGCAAAGACTACGAGTTTGGTACATACTGCCCTTAATAATCTATAGTAGTGTCAACAACTAACTAAATAAATGGCCCTCACTGGTTTGGTTTAGTGGATAGAGTACCGGTTTGAGATGAAAGGTTCTGGGTTCGATTCCAGTCAAGGGCACATGCCCTGGTTGCGAGCTCGATCCTCATTATGGGGCACACAGGAGTCAGCCAATCGATGATTCTTTTTCATCACTGATATTTTTTTTCAAATATATATTTTATTGATTTTTTGCAGAGAGGAAGAGAGAAGAATAGAGTTAGAAACATCGATGAGAGAGAATCATCGATCAGCTGCTTCCTGCACACCCGCTACTGGGAATGTGCCCGCAACCAAGTTATATGCCCCCAACCGGAATCAAACCTGGGACCTTTCAGTCCGCAGACCGCACTCTACCACTGAGCCAAACCAGTTTCAGCTCATCATTGATGTTTCTATCGCTCTCCCCCTCTCCCTTCCTCTCTGAAATCAATATAAATATTTTTTTTAAAAAAGAGTAAATGATTTGTGAGACTCACACGCAATTCCATTAGGCAGCCACTAGAAGGCACCTTTGCTTCATTTGTATTCAATTATGTTCCTCATCAGAGCTAAAAGAGTAGTACCCATTTTTGTTTTCTTCCAAAAAATAGCCATAAGTCATACTAATGGTGCTAAATACTATCATTTAATTTACAATAAACCATTAAGTATTATCATGCAACAAGTTAAAGAAAATTAAAATTTCTTTTTTTTAAATATATTTTATTGATTTTTTACAGAGAGGAAGGAAGAGGGATAGAAAGTTAGAAACATGGGAGAGAGAGAAACATTGATCAGCTGCCTCCTGCACACCCCTACTGGGAATGTGCCTGCAACCAAGGTACATGCCCTTGACCGGAATCAAACTTGGGACCTTTCAGTCCGCAGGCTGACACTCCATCCACTGAGCCAAACCAGGTCAGGGCAAAAAATTAAAATTTATTTTAAAATGTTCCCGAATCCGAAAATGGTTTGGCTCAGTGGTAGAGCATTGGTCTGCAGACTGAAAGGTCCCGGGTTCGATTCTGGTCAGGGACATGTACGTTGGTTGTAGGCACATCCAGAGTAGGGGGTGTGCAAGAGGCAGCTGGTCGATGTTTCTCTCTCATCGATCTTTCTAGCTCTGTCTCTCTCCCTTCCTCTCTGTAAAAATCAATAAAATATATATATATTTTTTAAAAATTTAAAGATGGAGCTCGTGCCTTCTTTAAAAAAAAAAAATGTTCCTGAAGTGCCAGAATAAGGACTGAAAAAAGTAATGTAACAAATAATTTTTAGCTTAAATATTCAAATGTAAAGGGTATTGTTATTTTTTAGAAAGTAAAATCAAGAGAAAAAACAGAAGCCATTTTTTCACAACTAAAGCAATTCCATTTCTCCTATACAAGTCTTTTTATATAAACATTTATTCATTTCCATGAACTTATTTACAAAGTTATGTTCAAACTAGAGGCCTAATGCACAGATTTGTGCATGGTGGGGTCTGGCCGCTCTGGCCTCAATTGGGGCAGATCAGGGGCGGGCCTGTCCAGAGGAGGAGACAGTGGGAAGTTGGCCAGTGAGCCCGCCCCTACCGGGGCCCAATCAGGACTGGGCTGGCTGGGGAGAGGGGCCTTGTGCAATTGGCCAGTGGCCAATCTCTCACAGCCTCTCCTCTCACCGGGCCCTGCCCCTATTGGAGTGTGTGTGTGTATGGGGGGAGGGGGGGTGATCAGGAGCAGGGCCGGCCAGATGGAGGGGCTGTGGTTGATTGGGATGGTGGGGTCCCATCAAGGGGAAGGGCAGCCGGGGGGAGGGGTTGCAGGAGGTTGGCTGGCCAGCTCCACCCCTACTGAGGTGGGGAGTGAGGTCAGGAAAAGGGCCAGCTGAGGGTTGGCTGGCTGGCTGGCCCCAACCCCCAATCAGGCCCTTTTGCTGGCTGCAGTGGCATCATAGTGACTAGTCGTTCAGGTTGTTCCGGCATTACAGTCGCTAGCTTTTTACATAGTATATAGATGCTGTAAGACATAACTATAGCAATTACCATTTACTAGTATCTCTATGTGAAGTTTTCACTGTTCTAGTAGATTTTTCCACTGTTATTATTCTTTCCCTTTTTAAAACAGCAGAAAATCCTCTCTTGACCCTATACTTCTTGCTTCAGCTAAGCTAAAGCCTCATTTCTCTCCTTTCCTTCATAATAAAATAACTAGAAAGTGTCTAAATTTGCTATATCAATTTTCCTCCTCTTGCTCTTTCTTGAACCAACTCCAATAATGATTAGAGTCTTACTACCCTACCAAAAGATGGTTTGTCAAAATCACCAAGGACCTCCACATTGCTACTAAACCCAGTGGTCACTTCTCAGTCTCCCCTTACCTGAACTATCAACAGTATTTGAAATACTGACATAAAGCAGGTAAAACTGACATAGAACAAAATACCTTCTTGAGCTCGCCAGTGTGGCTTAAGTGGTTGAACATTGAACCATGCACCAAAAAGTCACCAGTTTGATTCCCCGTCAGCATATGCCGGGTTGCAGGCTCGATCCCTGGTGGGGGCGGGGCTGTGCAAGAGGCAGCCAACCAATGTTTCTCTCTCTCCCCTCTCTCCCTCTCTCCCTCTCCCTCTCCTTCTCCCTCTCCCCCCCCCCCCCCCCTCTCTCTTCCTCTCTAAAATCAATGAAAACATATTTTTTAAAAATATCTTCTTGAAACACTTTCTTACTTGGCTTTCAGGACATGCTCTCCTGAATTTCCATCTATTTTACTTGCAGCTTTTTCTCAGTATTGTTTTGTCTTGTTCTCCTTTCGTATCTCCAACTCTTAACAGTGACAGTATCTCAGTGTTCAGTCATTGGCTCTTTCCAGTGCAGTTTATAGCTACACTCAATCTCTTGGTGATCTCATTAAATCACAGGCCTTTGAACATCATTATCTCTATGCTCTGGCTCCCAATTGATATCTCCAGCCTAAACATTACTTACAATCAATCCCATAACCAGAAGCCTACTGGACATCACATCTGTTAAAGCACTGACTCCCTCACAACTGATGTTCCAGTCTTTGCTATATCAGTTAATGGCAACTTCCACCTTTTAAACTGCTCAGTTAAGGGGGAAAAATCCTAAGCCACTCCAATAATTTCAATATAAAAATTTTAAAGACCTAATAAGGTCATTTTCATTTATTGTTCCTTATGCCTAAATGATCTTGCCCGAGACACCCCTAGGTCTTAATGCCTCATCTCTTTACTCAAATATTTGTTATTTTTCTAGATTTCTGACCACCTCATTTAAAATGGCACCCCCTCGCCCCCAACATTTTATTTTATTTTTCACGGGAGTGGAAGGGAAGTGGGAGAGACAGAAAGAAACACATCATGACACATGGAATGGTTGCCTCCTGCACATGCCCAGGTCTGTGCCCTGATAGGTGCCAGAGATCAAGACTGCAACCCAGGTGTGTGCCCTTGATCAGAATCGAACCTGTGACCCTTCAGTATCAGCTGATGCTCTATCCAATGAGCCAAACCAACTAGGGTCAATATACATTCTTTTTTATTTACTTTAGTGTATCTGTTTCCCCTACTAGAAATAGAATAAATTCTAAATTCCATAGGTCCAGAAATGTTTTACTGTTTTGTTCATTGTGGGATCCCCAGAACAGTATACTTAGACTAGAATGCTAGCAGGCATTTAATAAATATTTGGTGAATGAATGAGCAATAATGAATATTCTTCAACAGGCTCTTCAAAGGAAAAGCTTCTTTTCGAAAACAGACAGGGTTCAGGGAGCTTCCTGGTTGGTGAACACATGAAGATTTGGTAAGAGTGGTGCTGGAGAGGCATGGAAGCTCCGCGCTCTTTCTCCACACCGCGCCCTGTGCATCTCCTTCATCGGGCTGTCTCTCAGGTATATTCCATTATAATAAACCATGATCTGGTGAGAAAAACAACCACCACCAAAAAAAATCCCAGCTCCTTCTCAGCCATCATCTCTCGGCCAATGTAACACTCCCTAAAGGAACATTTCCATCACACTATCTAAAATAGCCTTCCCCTTTTAAATTCTTCTTTATCACAGGACCCTATTTCTTTCTCTCATTGCATTTTCTAATCTGTAATTATTTCATTTACAAGTTATTTCTTTATTGCCAAGTACATAGTTGTGCTCCATGAGGGCAGACAGTGTATTTGTAATACCTGGCACCAAGTCAGAATTTAAGTGTCGGTTAGAGAAAAGAGGGAGAGAAGGGGGAAAAGAGTGTTTTCTAAGATGAAAAAAATTTTAGAATAAAATTTACGTACTAGCACATTCAAGATAAGACTTTTATAGCTACAGTCTTATAACTTTCCTTACAATACAAGGTGGACCAGAAAGCAAGTATTTTTATTTTGTCGTGGCCAATTTACTTTTCTACCTAAAAAAGAGCTTTGAAGACCTTTAAGAAAAATATAAAGGTTTTAAGCATGAAAGGACATTTAGAAATACATTTTAAGAATTACATCAAGCATAGGCATACATGTAGTTCCCTAGTATGGAAGGGAGTTAGCAAAACACTGAATATGATTCATGATCAAAGTGTAAATGGCATTGAAATCTATACATTAACCTTCTCTTCACTTAGGTGTTAAAGCATTTAATATAATATCATCATATTTCTATCCCCATTGTGTGCCAAATGAGGATTTAAAATCTTTTTCATTTTACTACCATATATTGTAGAAAATCCAATATGATTTCACCAAATGTAAGCTCTACTTTTTTTTTTTTTTAATATATTTTATTGAATTTTTTACAGAGAGGAAGGGAGAAGAATAGAGAGTCAGAAACATCGATGAGAGAGAAACATCAACCAGCTGCCTCCTGCACACCCCCCACCAGGGATATGCCCGCAACCAATGTACATGCCCTTGACCGGAATCAAACATGGGACCCTTCAGTCCGCAGGCCGATGCTCTATCCACTGAGCCAAACCGGCCTCGGCATGTAAGCTCTACTTACCAAGTGCTCTTGCTACTGCCAGAAAGGGAATCTGGTCAATAACTGTGCTCCTTCTAACAGGTCCATTATGAGTGAGTCGAGGTCGTTTCCAAACTACACGATTCACGCCAGACTTGTTCATCACACTAAAAAACAAAGTTCACATAAATATTCTATGATTAAAACATAACAACTAAGGTGGCTCTATATTTTAAATAACAAATAAAATCAGATTATCACAAAATAATGACTTGTCTGTTTCAGATACAAAGATGCATAAACCAAGGTTCCTGTTCAGAGAGAATAAATAAAGTAGGGTAGTTTAAGAAGAGGAGAATGTGAAGATTACTAAAGCAGGCTAAACAGAATGGACTGGTAGTAATGGGAAGAAAATGAGTAGCTATAAAGGGGGCAAATAACTTGATAACTAAAAAAAAGTTGGATGGGAGGAAGAAAAGGATACAAATGAGAGGAATTAAATAGTGATAAAAGAAATTACAAAGAAAAAGTTAAACAGTTTTTGAGGGATTTGAGGGTACTCAGAAATTAATTGTTAAACCTCAATAGAAGTATTGATATAGTTAGATATTTCTGTAATCAGAAATGTAAGATTAGACTTTGGAAACAGATCTGTAAAAATGTAGATTTAGGAGTTATAGAAGAAGAAAAACCATCCTAGAAATTTTGCATAGGAGCAACAGAAATCTGTAATTAGTAACCCTAGGAGTTAGGATACTCTAGGTTGCCTAAAACATGGAAATACGGTTAAGTCTTGAAACAAAAAAAGTTATTGACAACAATAGAGATGGGAAAATAAACCAATAGAGATGGTCTCTGTATCTGTGCCTGTATTAGTGAAATGGGAAGCTGACCCTTAAATCAATTTGATCATAATCTGCCTGAATTAAAAAATAAATAAATAGAAGACAAATGTTCATCTGGAAGGCTAGAAAAGTTGGGGTGTGAGCCGAAACCGGTTTGGCTCAGCGGTAGAGCGTCGGTCTGCGAACTGAAAGGTCCCAGGTTCGATTCCGGTCAAGGGCATGTACGTTGGTTGCGGACACATCCCCAGTGGGGGGTGTGCAAGAGGCAGCTGGTCGATGTTTCTCTCTCATCGACGTTTCTAGCTCTCTATTTCTCTCCCTTCCTCTCTGTAAAAAATCAATAAAATATATTTAAAAAAAAAAAAAAAGAAAAGTTGGGGTGTGAAATGACAAAGAGTATTTACAAGAAACAATATTAGGTCCATTTGACAGACACATGCTAATCATGATTCATTCTCAAGGCTGTCAAAGACAGATGACTTATTAAGATAATCTAATCAAGCCTCCACAGTTGGGCCCAGAAATCCTTTGATTATATTATGTAATTTCATTTCATCTACAGCCAGCCAATAATATGTGGACTTCTTAGTCAGTTATTTTTCTCACTAATAAGAACTATAGCCAAAACTGGTTTGGCTCAATGGATAGAGCGTTGGCTTGGGGAGTAAAGGGTCCCGGGTTCGATTCCGGTCAAGGGCATGTACCTTGGTTGCAGGCATATCCCCAGTGGGGGGGTTGCAAGAGGCAGCTGATCGATGACTCTCTCTCATCGATGTTTCTAACTCTCTATCTCTCTCCCTTCCTCTCTGTACAAAATCAATAAAAAATAAATAAATAAATATATTTTTTTTTTAAAAAAAAACTATAGAATTCTGACATATAAGTCTCTTATTAGTTTACTATGTTGGCTGTGAGTAACGACTCTTCTTCCCCTAAACTTGATGAGCACTGAAACTAAACTGACTTTAGGTATGGAAAATTGAAGACAGGACAAATAATGGTCACCACCTCCAAATGAATGTCACTATGAAATTCCTGCTGTACACCTCAGCAGCAGTAATCTGGTTATATCCTCTATGGTTATTTTATCTCGGTTCTAACTTCAAAGGGATAAAAATACTAGCGAGAGAGGGATAAATGAGAAAAAAGTCCTAAGAGAAGTAAAATAAAGGCATAAACCTTATAAATGAGAAAGAACAATCTTCCTCTGACCAAAAATAAAAAAAAACACCCTGAAATGCAGAAGAACCTCAACCTTCTTTCTAATGTAGAAAACCAGGAGATTTAGCAGCTGTGTCATAAAACTTCCTGTAATTATGGAAATGTTTACCCTGCACTGCCCAAATACAGTAGTCACAAACGATGTGTACCTATTGAGCATTGCAAATGCGAAACTGAATTCTATTTAATTTTAATTAATTTATACTTGAATTTAAACAGCCATATGTGGCCAGTGGCTACTATACTAGGCAACACAGGAAAGGAATGAAGCAAGTACAAGAATGATAAAAAAAAAACAAAAACAAAAACAATGTCAATGTTAATGTTAATATGAAAGAGAAATTCAAGAGAGTTGGTAATTTACTATCCCTTTTTAGGTTAATTCACAATTCTGAAAGCAACATTGTTCTCGGGCCTAACAAGAGTAAGAAAGAATATCAAAGACAGTCATTTTATTATTTTATGCTTTCTTCAATGCTGATCCTCAAAAGCAAATCATAAAGAAAAAAAAACCTTAAAAAGATTTTTAAAATTTAAAAAACAAATAATAGAATAAAGACTAAGTCTATATCATTCAGAAAAATCTATGAAACATGAGAGTTACAGGAAAAGATACCTACATTCTGTCTCCCTAACACCTTAAGCCCTATTGGTCTTTCCTAAATCTGCTCCCTAAAAATAATATTTTAGTATAATACCGTATTTTTCGGACCATAAGACGCACTTTTTTCCCCCCAGAAGTAGGGGGGAAAAGTCCCTGCGTCTTATGGTCCAAATATAGCCTACACATATACTTTTAAAAAAAAAGTTTTTTTACTTGCCCGGCTCTGTGTGGTCTCTGTGTGCTTGCCCGGCTCTAAAATGGTTCTAAATGCTGCTGTTTACTTTACAGGGTTGATTACATGTGTTTATGACTGTGATGTTGGGTTTTAATGCACATAAAATATTTTAGGACACTATTTGTTTCAGAATCTTTTTTTCTTCATTTCCCTTCTCTAAAAACTGGTGCGTCTTATGGTCCGGAGCGTCTTATGGTCCGAAAAATACGGTAATTACATTAGTTACCAATTGCATCCAATATAACTCTACTAGCAGCTCTCTTAATAATATTAAAAATATTATAGTCTCTATATTTCTGAGGAACGAAAGACAAAATAATGGTACTGATTAAAACAAAGTCTTAAATTTGGAATAAAAAAACCAAAACAATGATAGAAGAAATGCTGCTTTTATTTCAATCCTCACCATTACCCTGTACTATCCAAAAACATACACAAAAGAACAGCCTGATAAGCAGAGAGCTGATTGACAGCAACAGAAGGCTGGAAAAACAGAGCACTGGCCAGTTGCCTAGGGTGAGATACAGGAAAAGGAGGAAATGACTTATAATAAAACAGCTCAATTTATGCAAAAAGACACCTGCTCCCAAATAACAAAGAGCATCTGTCCAACTATCCAGATGGTATTTTAAGAGATAAGACACACAAAAAAACAAAACTCTAAAAAAGACTTAGGACAATCAAGGAAAATGTAATTTAAAAATTCATATAGCAAAATAAAAAAGAACAGTCAAGAAAATATATCTTAAAAATTAATGAGAAGGGATTAGGCCTATCCATGTTACAAACTTTAATAAAGCCTCAATTTAAAAAGTGAGCCCGGCCGGCGAGAGTCAGTGGTTGAGCATGCGTCCACCTATGAACCAGGAGGTCACAGTTAATTCCCAGTCAGGGCATATGCCCAGGTTGCAGGCTCAATTCTCTCAGTGTGGGGAGTGCAGGAGATAGCCAATCAATGATTCTCTCTCATCATTGATGTTTCTACCTCTCTCTCCCTCTCTGAAATCAATAAAAAGATATCTATATTTTTTAAAAGTATGATATTAGCACATGAACATATAGTATTAAAAAAATAGAGCCGTAGCTGGTTTGGCTCAGTGGATAGCGCGTTGATCTGCAGACTAAAGGATCCTGGGTTCAATTCCAATCAAGGGCACATGCCCAGTTGCAGGCTCGATCTCCAATAGGGGGAGTGCAGGAAGTATCAAATCAATGATTCTCTCTTATCATTGCTGTTTCTATCTTTTTCTCCTCCCTTCCTCTCTAAAATTAATAATATACTTAAAAAATTCTTACAGATATAAGTTTATTAAAAAAAATAAAAATAAAGCCCAGAAAAAGACCCAAATACATACAGGAATTCAATTTATAATTGCAAAGCCCACTTTGCATGACTACCAACAGTATCATACAAACTGTCATACAGACTGACCTTCGCACTCAAAGGATCAAATATATTAGAGCATGAAACCAGGCTCATTTAATTTTGTGGGATACAGAACAGGAAACAGTATGAGAGCAAGCAGCTTGCATCATGTTGTTTTCAGAAATGACCCTTACAGAAATCCAGGAGCCATTCTGTAGCCTCTTATCCTCGAGTTTCACATGCCCTTGATTGGAATCGAACCGGGACCCTTCAGTCCGCAGGCCGATGCTTTATCCACTGAACCAAACCAACCAGGGCTCTTTTGTTTTTTTGTTGTTCAAACTTCCTCTCCATTATCCACATATCTGGTGGTGGAGGGCGGTGTTTTCCTTACTGATGTTTTGAACTCCTTATAATTAAGAATGTTGATTACTTTTCTTTGTTTATTATTATTGCTCTGAAAAAGACTTTTGATTTACTAAAAGTAAGAAAGACTAGTAATAATATCATAAGGCTTTAGTTAGAATTATTACATAAGAAACATTTAATTTGCTGTAGGTCCTCGATTGTTACAAATAAGTATTTTTTTTTTAAAGAAAATAGAACTTCATTGTATTTTATTTATTTTTTTAACAGTGTATGAAACCTTTTTTATTTACTTAAAGAATCCTACAACTTTACATGTTTGTCACACAAGGCTTGAAAGAGAGAAATAAGCAAAGTGAGCAGCTTTGGAAAGCCTTACAGTTCCGGTAATGTAGCATTTAACTCTATTACATAGTTGAGGGACAATGTTCCCGATCTTCTTCTGTTCATAACAGTGTGTAGGAAGTTGTTTTTATTTTTAATTTTTAATTTTTTATTTTATTTCTTTTTTCATCTTAATCCTATTTATTGAGAGCCTCTGAAATTTGACAGGTACATTTATTTTATTTATTTATTTTTCTTTTTTTTAATTAATTAATTTATTTTTTTACATATTTTAATGATTTTTTTTTTGCCCCCCTCCCTCCTTCCCACATATCCCCTCCCTCCCCAGAGTTTTATGTCCATTGGTTGTACTTATATGCATGTATACAAGTCCTTCGGTTGATCTATTATCTCCCCCAGATCCTCCTCCTATTTATTTATTTAAATATATTTTATTGAGTTTTAACAGAGGGAGGGAGAGAGATAGAGAGCTAGAAACATCGATGAGAGAGAGACATCTATCAGCTGCCTCCTGCATACCCCCCACTGGGGATGTGCCTGCAACCAATGTACATGCCCTTGACCGGAATCAAACCCGGGACCTTTCAGTCCACAGGCCGATGCTCTATCCACTGAGCCAAACCGGTTTTGGCACAAATAAGTATTGAAATAACTTTTTAGTGACCTACCGCGGCGTGGATCTGGATCAACTGCTTGACATGTCATATGAGCAGTTGATGCAGCTGTACAGTGCCCAGCAGCGACGGCGGCTAAACCGGGGCCTGCGGAGGAAGCAGCATTCGCTTCTGAAGCGCCTGCGCAAGGCCAAAAAGGAGGCCCCACATGGAGAAGCCAGAGGTGGTGAAGACACACCTGCGGGACATGATCATCCTGCCAGAGATGGTGGGCAGCATGGTGGGCGTCTACAATGGCAAGGCCTTCAATCAGGTGGAAATCAAGCCTGAGATGATTGGCCACTACCTGGGTGAGTTCTCCACCACCTACAAGCCCGTGAGGCACGGCAGGCCTGGCATTGGAGGCACCCACTCCTCCCGCTTCATCCCTCTCAAGTAGTTAATAAAAAGCGGACTTACCTCAAAAAAAAAAAAAAAAAAAGAAAAGAAATAACTTTTTAGTTTTCTCATGCTATTTATTCCTCATTACTTTAGAATAATCTTACATTTTAGTTTGTATCAATTTTCCGGCGTATAAGACGACCTACTAAATTTTACAGTTAAAACATAGGTTTAGGCCTATATTCGCTGTATAAGACTACTCCCCACTTCAAAGAAAAGACTTACTTTGCCGTCAAGATCTGCAGGTAATTTTTGTGCAATTTTGGTCTTTTGCCCCGATTTTCGGTTGACTTTTTTTCGTTTTAAAAGTCGTCTTATACGCAGGAAAAAACGGTATGTTGAAATCTATTTGCTTATAGTTTATAAACTACATATTGAGACAGTAAGTTAAAATAAAGAAAAGAAGAAAAGTTTACAGCACATGACAAAAATCAAAGAAAAAAACTGAAGGTTAATTTTAACAAAATTCTATTCCTGAAGTAAGAAGGAACTGTTCTATTCTGGAATTGTAAGCGCTGCTAAGTTCAAATTGTGAAGGTCATGCTGACCATTATTCATGTAGAAGGTCTTTAATAAATCCTTGCATATATTGTTACTTGAATTCCACTAAAATATTATTTCCCTTTGGAGCCATTATCAGAAATAAAAGTAAATTCAAAGTAATGAGATAAATACGAATGTACATGTGTACTTCACAAGGCAAACTAAAAACGTAATACTGAAAAAAATCACTTCATTGAAAGGGAGAAATAGGGCAAACTGGTTAGTAAAGCAGAAAAGGATTAAATAGAGAGGAAAGATAAAACAGCATAATGATTACCTCCCACCAAGTCCTTCGATGCGTTCTCTTTCCTTGGGAAGTTCTGGCTTATGATCCTGTGTCACTTCCACAGCTCTGACAAAATCATCCTTTGGGTCATCCTGAATTCCAAGAACCACGCCTGAGTCACCCACGTGAGCTACATACATCTTCATGCCCCGTATGATGACCACACTGGCTGTTGTCCCCGACGTGCTGGGAAGACCTGTCATAGTCTTTGGCCATTCTGCTGTAATACGAAATAAAATATTTAACTCTTATAAATAAGTAACATGTTTTATTCTAAGATAGTTTATGTATCATATGCTGAGTTAGCAGTATAAAATTTTAATTAGCATTGGGGAAAATTTTTTTTTAATATATTTTATTGATTTTTTTACAGAGAGGAAGGAAGAGGGATAGAGAGCTAGAAACATCGATGAGAGAGAAACATCGATCAGCTGCCTCCTGCACACCCGCCACTGAGGATGTGCCCGCAACCAATGTACATGCCCTTGACCGGAATTGAACCCGGGACCCTTCAGTCCACAGACCGATGCTCTATCCACTGAGCCAAACCGGTTTCGGCAGGAACATTTTAAAAAATATATATATATCTTTATTGACTTCAGAGTTGAAGGTGAGCAGGACTAAGCCAGCAGGCGGACATCCCTCAAGGGGTCCTGGACTGTGAGAGGGTGCAGGCTGGGCTGAGAGAATCCCCCCGCCCCATGCACAAATTTCATGTACTGGGCCTCTATATAAAAAAGCCTAAGCGGCCGAAACCGGTTTGGCTCAGTGGATAGAGTGTTGGCCTGCAGACTGAAGGGTCCCGGGTTCGATTCCAGTCAAGGGCATGTTCGATTCCAGTTGCGGGCATATCCCCGGTGGGGGCTGTGCAGAAGGCAGCTTGTCGGTGTATCTTTCTCATGGATGTTTCTAGCTCCCTATCCTTCTCTATTCCTCCCTGTAAAAAATCAATAAAATATATTTAAAAAAAAAAAAAAAAAAAGCATAAGCAACTGTTACAGTGGAACGACCAGAACAACCGGTCACTATGATGCACACTGACCACCTGGAGGCAGACGCTCAACGCAGGAGCTGCCCCCTGGTGGTCAGTGTGCTCCCACAGGGGGAGTGCCGCTCAGCCAGAAGCCAGGCTCACGGCTGTCGAGCGCAGTGGCATTCGAGGTAGCCTTTCCCACCTCCACATCAGCACTAAGGAGCAGCGAGATGAGCAGTAAGGAGCAGGAAGCAGACGGGTGGTAAGAAGCGAGGAGTTCCAGACTGTGAGAAGGCGCAGGACTGGCTGAGGGAATACCCCCCTCCAGTGCATGATTTTGTTCACTGGGCCTCTAGCTATGAATAAAGGCTAAAATATAAGCAACATAGCCTTTTCTTTCATTTGGATTATTTCCTAAGAAAAAATTCTCAAAAGCTGAATTACTTGGTTAAATATAATTTTTAAAATATATATATATTTTTTTACTGAATTTTACAGAGAGGAAGGGAGATAGCTAGAAACATTGATAAGAGAGAAACATTAATCAACTGCCTCCTTCACACCCTCCCATTGGGAATCGATCTCATAACCAAGGTATATGCCCTTGACCAGAATCAAACCCAGGAACCTTCAGTCCACAGACTAATGATCTATCCACTGAGCCAAACTGATTAGGGCTAAAGATAATCTTTTGATGATTGTTAATAATGTTTTCAAATTGCTTTCCTAAAAGTTTTTTTATATCTTCATACTTACTCTGGGATTAGAATTCTGTAAGAATTCTTAGCAGTATGATATATTGACTGGGTTTGAATCCCATCATCTCCACTTATTACCTGTGTGATTTTGGGGTAAAACTTCTTTGCACCAGAGTATCCTCCTTCTAAAATAGAGAGAGTGATAGTACCTACCTCCTGAGAGTTAAATGACTATATGTTAATTGGTACATGGTAAGTACATAAGTATCCCAAGTTTTAAATTTATCAGAGAACATTCTATAATTTATAATAGCTTTACTTCATTCAAAAACGTTATTTTTATGTTATAAAATATATTAGTCTTTGTTTTAATGACTCATCTATACTATACTTCTTTTCTTTTCTTTTTTTTTCTTTTTTTTTAATAAGTTTTTATTGTTCATATTATTACAAATGTTCCTTTCCCCCCCCCACCATTGCTCTCCTCCACCAGGTTCCCACCCCACCCTCTGCCCTTTCCCCTCTCCCCATTGTCCTCATCCATAGGTGCACAGTTTTTTTTTTTTTTTTTTTTTTTTTTTTTTTTTTTAAATATATTTTATTGATTTTGTACAGAGAGGAAGGGAGAGAGAGAGAGAGTTAGAAACATTGATGAGAGAGTCATCAATCAGCTGCCTCTTGCACACCCCCTACTGGGGATATGCGCGCAGCCAAGGTATATGCCCTTAACCGGAATCGAACCCGGGACCTTTCAGTCCCCAAGCCGACGCTCTATCCATTGAGCCAAACCGGTCCCGGCCATAGGTGCACAGTTTATGTTCAGTCTCTTCCCACGCCCCCTTCTCCCCTTTTCCCCAAGAATCGTCAGTTCACTCCCCTTCCATACCTCCGATTCTATTATATTCAACAGTTAATATTATTCATCAGATTTTTTTAATTTCCTTGGTTTTTAGATTCACTTGTTGATAGTTACGTATTTGTTGTTCATAATTTTTATCTTTGTTTACTTTCTCTTCTGAAAGAACCCCCTTCAGCAATTCATATAATTCTAGTTTGGTGGTGATGAACTCCTTTAGCTTTTTTTTATTAGTGAAGCTCTTTATCTGGCCTTCGATTCTGAGTGATAGCTTTGCTGGGTAGATTATTTTTGGCTGTAGGTTCTTGCTATTCATCACCTTGAATATTTCTTGCCATTTCCTTCTGGCCTGCATGGTTTCTGTTGAGAAGTCAGCTGACAATCGTATAGGTGCTCCTTTATAGGTTACTACCTTCTTTGCTCTTGCTTCTTTTAATATTCTCTCTTTGTCTTTTGCTCTTGCAATTTTAATAATGATGTGTGGTCCTCTTTGGATTCCTTTTGTTTGGAGTTCTGTGCACTTCCTGGACTTGTAAGTCTAATTCTTTCACCAGGTGGGGGAAGTTTTCTGTCACTATTTCTTTCAGTATGTTTTTGATATCTTGCTCTCTCTCATCTTCTGGGACCCCCATAATTCTGATGTTGGTTCGCTTGAAGTTGTCCCAGAGGTTTCTTACATTATCTTCAATTTTCTGGATTCTCTTGCCTTCTAGCTTCTGTGGAGGAGTGTCTTCTGGCTCTTTATGTTCCAAATCTTTGACTTGATTCTTGCGATCCCCGGTTTTGGGGTTCAGTTCAGTTGGAAGTGGAGTTGGAGGTGGCATTCACAGCAGTCTGGAGCCCCAGTCTCCTTCCCGTCAGGGCAATCCCGCGGCACAGCTGACCGTCCCTTCTCTGCATGCAGTGTGCGCGCCTCCGGGACCTCCTTTCGCCTCTCCCCGGGGTTCCGCCTTACAGCCCGGCTCCCTATGGCTGAGCCTGAGTCCCCGGGGTCTGGCCTAGGGGTTCAGAGCAGTCGGGGACCCAGCACAGTCGGAGTTTTATCTCCTTCCCGCTAGGGAACGCCCGCCAGGCACTCGGCCTCCCTTCTCTTCGGCTCTGTCCTCTCTGCGTGTGCCGTGTCTCTGTACCTTGGGCTTTTCCAGCTCCTCCGCGCCTCCTTCTGGTTTTCTCCTTGCTTCTCGCTGTAGAATTTCCAGTCAGTCAACCTTCCTGTAGTTCTGGGCAATGTCCGTTATATATTTTAGTTGTATTTTATTGAAATTGTTGTGTGCGGCTGCGGCTAGGTGTTCACCTGGGCGCAGCCATCTTGAATCTCCCTATACTATACTTCTTACTATACTTTTAAGTTACAGTTCATAGACTATCTAATACTATCTTTTTTTAAAATATATTTTATTAATTTTGTACAGAGAGGAAGGGAGAGAGATAGAGAGTTAGAAACATCAATGAGAGTCATCATCTATCAGCTGCCTCTTGCACACCCCCTACTGGGGATATGCCCACAACCAAGGTACATGCCCTTGTCTGGAATCGAACCCGGGACCTTTCAGTCCCCAAGCCGACACTCTATCCATTGAGCCAAACCGGTTTTAGCCTGATACTATCTTTTTATTATGCTCCTAGTTTTGTCATTTTTAAATAATTTAAGATTCAAATGTAAAGTAGGAAATAAGAAAGACTAAGGATGTCAAATTTTAAAGATGTCAATTACTTAATACATAACTAAAATACTGCAGTTCCCATAAGAACTTCAACAGGGTGTTTTTATCCCTATTTAAGTACCATAAATAGATGAGTAAGATGAATCCAGAAATAGATTTGAGGCAAATGTAGCATATAATAAAGGTGACATTTCAAATGAATAGGGTAAACATTCAGTATTTTTAGATCTTTGCAGCATATCTCTTTGTACATGTTAATACTTTGGACCAAAATGTGATTTAAATAATGTTAATATTGTGTCTTTGAATATCTTTTTATTTTTAGCTCTTTTTCTTTTATCCTTTCCATTTTGTTTTTGGTACTTTTTGCAAACAGCTGAAGTACTTGCATACTGTAGGTATTTGTTTTCTAAATGTGCTTATCCCTCCTTTACAGGAGATTATCTCACATACCTTTATTGTGATAGAGGCTCGGTGCACAAAATTTGTGCACGGAGGGGTGTGTCCCTCAGCCAAGCCTGCACCCTCTCCAATCTGGGACCCCTCGAAGAATGTCCAACTGCCCGTTTAAGCCCAACCCTATCAGGCAGTTGGACATCCCTCTCACAATCCAGGACTGCTGGCTCTCTACTGCTTGTCTGCCTGCCTTCTTGATTGCTCCTAACCTCTTCTGCCTGCCAGCCTAATCATCCCTTAACCACCCCCCTGCCAGCCTGATTGATGCCTAACTGCTCCCATGCAGGCCTGGCCACCCCTAACAGCTCTCCCCTGAAGGCCTGGTCACCCCTAACTACCCTCCCCTGCAGGCCTGACCACCCTAACTGCCCTCCCCTGCAGGCCTGACCACCCTAACTGCCCTCCCCTGCAGGCCTGGTCCCCCTCCAACTGCTCTAACCTGCAGGCCTGGTCCCCCCTCCCCAACTGCCCTCCCTTGCATGCCTGTTTCCTCCCAATTGCCCTCCCTTGCTGGCCATCTTGTAGCAGCCATCTTGTGTCCACTTGGGGAAAGCCATCTTTGGCCACATGGGGGCAGCCTTCTTGTGAGTTGGAGTGATGGTCAACTTGCATATTACTTTTTTATTAGATAGGATAGAGGCCTGGTGCACGGGTGGGGCTGGCTGGTTTGCCCTTAAGGGTGACCCATATCAGGGTGGGGGATCCCTTGGGATGTGGGGCCTGTGGTGATTTGCAGGCTGGCCACGCCCCCCTGGTGACCAAAGCAGAGGCCCTGGTATCTGGAATTTATTTATATTCTACAATTGAATCTTTGTAGCCTTGAGCGGAAGCCAGAGCAGGTAGGAAGCTTGGCTTCTTCCATCACCAGGGTCAACTCAAGCCTCCTGCTCTCTCCAGCTCTGTAGCTGCCACCATTTTTTGTTGGGATTTATTTACCTTCTATAAATGAAACTTTGTTGCTTTGAACAGAGGCCAGGGCCGGCCAGGGCGGGCAGGAAGCTTGGGGAAACCCAAGCCTCCTGTTTACTCCAACTCCATGGCCGCTGCCATATTTGTTGGGTTAATTTGCATACTCACTCCTGATTGACTGGTGGGTGTGGCTTGTGGGCGTAGCAGAGGTACGGTCCATGTGCATGTTTCTCTTTTATTAGGTAGTACATATTTTTTTTATTTGAAATTATTAGCTGCAAAGCCCTAACCGGTTTGGCTCAGTGGGTAGAGTGTCAGCCTGCGAACTGAAAGGTTCAATTCCGGTCAAGGTCATGTACCTTGGTTGCGGCATATCCCCAGTGGGGGGTGTGCAGGAGGCAGTTGATTGATGTTTCTCTCTCATCAATGTTTCTAACTCTCTCTCCCTCTCTCTTCCTCTCTGTGAAAAATCAATAAAGTATATTTTTTTAAAAAGAAAAGATAAATTATAATATTAGCTGCAGAAAAAAGAATCTATACCAGCTAATTTGAAAATGTTTTAGCCCTGCTGGTGTGGCTCAGTGATTGAGCATCAACCCATGAACCAAGAGGTTCCTGGTTCGATTCCCAGTTATGGCACATGCCTGGGTTGCAGGTTTGATCCCTGGTGTGGGGTGTGCAAGAGGCAGCTGACTGACTGATATGTCTCTCTCATCGATGTTTCTATCTCTCTATCCCTTTCCCTCCGTCCCACTCTCTCTAAAATCAATAAAAAAAAATATTTTAATAAAGAAAAAGTTGCAGCAAAAGCTAAACTTAACCCATAAAATAATTGAAGTTAGGCTGAGCTTCTCAGAATGATGTCTATAACCAAACTATAGAACTGGATGTGCTAGGGAGTTGTCTGCTATAATCTATACCTACAAAACTGATGCCTTATTTTCTTTTAACTTAAAAAAAACTGTGAAATATAACATAGCACACATACTGAAAAGGCCATAAAATTAAGTATACACTTTAATGAATAATTATAAAATGAACACCATCTGGTTAGGACAAAATGCTAATTTGAAAGAATATACGCACCCCTATGTTAACTGCAGCATTACTTAAAATAGCCAACATATGGAAGCAACCCAACTCCCCATCAATAGACAAATGAATTAAAAATTTGGGGTACAAAAGTACAATGAAATACTACAAAGAATGAAGTCTTAGTTTGTGACAGCATGGATGAACCTAGTAGGTACTAAATAAGTCAGTCAGAGAAAGACAAATACCATATGATTGCACTGATCTGTGAAATCTAAAGAACAAAATAAATGAACAAACAAAATTGAAACAAAGTCAGACACAGAGAACAGACTGATGGTTGCCAGAGGGGAGGCGGAATTGGGATGCTGGGAGAAAAAGGTGAAGGGATTCAGAAGTACAAACAGGTATTACAAAATAGTCATGGGAATGTAAAGTACAGCATAGGGAATATAGTCAATAATTTATATATTTTATATATATAAAAGGCTATTATGCAGTGTCCCCACAGGAGTCTGACCCGGAGACCAGGAGTTCTATCACTCGCTATGACAATGCGCTGACCGCCTGGGGGTGGAGTGGAACTAAGGGAGGCCCTGGCCAGCAGTTGGCAGCCAGGAAAGGAGGCCCCAGCAGGCAGTGGGAAGGCCCCAATGGGCCCTGATCACCAGCCAGGCCTTCTCTACCCATGCACAAATTTCGTGCATTGGCCTCTAGTCCTGTAATAACTAGGTATAATGCCAGGCTGGAAGGGGGGACTACTTTGTAAAGTATATGAGAACTATTGCTATAGCCCAATGGGTACTATATTAGTAAAAATAAAGGATGTTTAATTTAAAAAGAAACAAAACTCTTCACAGAAGAAAGCATACTGACTTAGAGACTGAAGTGTGTATTTTTCAGTGTTTTTTTAGAAGAGGGAGGGAATTCAATAAAAATGGAATATTTCACTGTACCCTGTGGTAAAAGAGAAGTAGACTGTGATAAAAATGTGTATAAGAGATAAAACTGAATAGGGAGTCTGAAGTTGCGTTGGAAAGGGCTTGGTCTGTACATTTTAAAATGTGGTTTATTCTATAGAAAATGAGGACCCACCCATAAATTTGAGACTAAAATACTTTGTTTGTTTTTTAATCTGCATCTTCAGTGTGAAAACTTCCATATACTCAGCATATTCTTTTTTTATTCAAGTTTTGGGAATAGAGTATAGGTTTAGCTGTGGAATGAAGCAAACATTTGTCTAGTACATAAGGCTCTGAAAGCTTGATTCAAAAGGTAAATGTACATCAATAAACACATTCACACCCAACAGCATGGTCCCTGCTTTATTAAAAAATGTTCAAGTAACTGGGTTTATACTTTATCCTTTCAGTTCAAACATATGGCAAGTTCATGTTGCTTCAAGTGTACTGCTCTATAAACAGGATTCAAATAATTCTCTGTGTTTAATCTTCTGCTGCCTTGTCTTGCTGTCCACTCCTTGTAGCACTGCAGACAACATAATGACATATTTCTGGAATATACTGCAGTGCTTTTAGCACTGCTCTCTGCCTACACAAAAACAAAACAAATCCATAATAGGGGCCTCTGGGATTGTGAGGGAAACACCTCCAACAGGCAGACTGGTTGTTCTATGAGTCAATCAAATTATTCTTGGCAGGAAGCCAGGTAAATAGGAAACAGACTGAAAGAAGCTCATCCACAATTCTATGACTATATCTTTTAAAAAATGTTCTGTATTTGACTAATCTTTACACTCTTCTCTATGTCTCTGCCCTCTGCTAAAAATAAACAATGCTACCAAAAACAAGAGGATTTTTAAAAAATGACATATTGTCTCTAAAATAAAAGATTCACGCCCTTCATACACAGCAACGTTAAAGCAACTATTACTCTGCATGATATGATGTTGGGTACAGAGACACTGGTTGCTTTAGAAAACATTTTAAAGCTTAGGTAAAACGACAACTAGATCGAATTTTTAGAGATGAAGGTCTCTACTTCCTGTTAGCACAACAGTCAATTCCCCTTATCTCTTGCAACTTTGACAGGCTGTTACAACTTACAAGGACTTTGAAGTCCGAGCTGTTGAGAATGTATGTTATCTGACAGCATACAACCACTGGTAAGGCCAAACTACCCCCAAAACTTGTACTGTACTTTTCCAAAACCCTTAGCAGAACTGAACGTGGGAACACAGTTTAATATGTAACAACGCATCCCGCGCTTTTGTTTTTTCCTCAGCAGCCCACGCATAAAAGACCCTAAAAGCGAAACCGAATTCCTTTTCAAGCGGACTGGATGATTACATTTTCGCCTTCCTAAAATAGCCAACAGTTTACTCTCCCAACTACCAGCGACCTGGGGTCAATCTGGAGAATCTGACACCGAGAGGAGGCAACGGACAGGGAGGGACAAGTCCTTCAGGAGCGAAAGGATGACAGATTCCAAAGGAGGAACTCTTCATTTTTGTCATCTCCCGCTTCTATCGCGTGGCCCAGGGAGCAACCTATATCTTCAGCTGATCTTTTTTGGTCAAAATCTGGCGTCAGGTTTCACACACCGTTTTCGCCGGGAGGGGAGAGGACGGCTTCCCAAGGATCCGTAGAGGGTGGGTGAAAAGCAGGCGAGGAGCGGTTGTGGGGAGACGGCAAAATCCTTTCTCAAGGCCCGGGCTTGCACCCCGGAAAGGGCTAACCAGACCCAGAGTCTTCATGCCCACTAATGTGCACTTTGCCCGGGGCTCACGCAGGGCTGGTGCCAGAAAAGCCCCCAAATAGCCTGAAACACACACACACACACACACACACACACACACACACACAAAACACACATACACACACACACACACACACACACACACACACACACACAAACACCAAAAAAAAGTGGACGCCCCAACAAGCCAGGGAACTTACCCAGCTTCTTCCACATGGCGAGGTGACAGGCGAGGAAGCCCTTGCGGATGGCAGCGCACACCTTGGCGGGCTCGGACGAGGTGAACCCCTTCTGCTTCTTGATGAAGCCCCACAAGTGCTCCCGGGCGAACTGTGCCGCCTCCCGCCCGCCGTGCCCGTCGCACACGGCGAAAAAGGCCACCGAGGAGCGGCGGCGGCAGCAACGGCCCGGGGCCGGCGAGGCCCCCGCGTCCGGGGCAGGGGCGCCAGCCTCTCGGGCTCCCGCCGCCGGGCCTTTCCCCGAGACCTCGGCGCCGCCGCCGCCGGGAAGAGCCGGCGCTGACGGCTGCGAGAGCGACCGCCGCGGCGAGCGCTTCTCCTCAGCGGTCGGCTCGGGCTCCACCACGATCTGAGTAACGTCCTCCATGTACTTCCTCCCGCCCTGGTCGGAGAAGACGCTCACTCCCAGCGAGTACAGCCCCGCCATGGCCGGCCGGCCGGCCCGGGATCCCGCTGATCCCACGCAGCCCGCCGAATCCGGCGGCGGGAGAAGCGCTCCGCGGTCACCGGCCAACTATTGTTTACCTTCGACGCCGCCGCCGCCGCCGAAAGGGGGAGGGGGCGGTCCCGGGGCGGGAGCGGGGGCGCGCGCTGCCGGGACTTGTCCGCGAGCGCTGGGCCGAGAGGAGCCGCCGCCGCGCCTGCGCAGTGCGCCTCCCCCGCCCGCCCGCGCCCACCACACAAATCGGACGTTCTCCCGGTCTGTCGTCACGCGACCCTCAAGGCCCGGCCAATCAGGGCTCGAGTTGGAGCGAGCCGGGCCTCCGCCCCCAGCCCTAGCTCCGCCCCCAGCACTGGCTCCACCCTTCAGCGGCCGCGCTCCGTATTCCCAGCGCGGGCGCGGGGTTGCACACTAGGCGCCTGGTTTTCCCCTTACTGTGGGCGTCTTCGCCCTCCCAACTTATCGGCTAAAGCCGAGCGCTCGGCCAATGTGACCTGTCACCTTGTGGCTCTGTCCCCGAGATCGTAATGCAGCCTGCTGACCTTGGCGCTCCGCCGCTCGCCTTGCCGGGAAAGCCGCGTTCGCGCGGGCCTCCCACGGATCTAGGGGAGAAAGCCCTTCCAGTCCTTGAAGTGAAATGGCGGGAAATCCCAATTCGTTAGGTCGTTTGCGAGCAGGCTGGAAGACGTGTGTCATTCTTGCCCTGGCCAGTGTGACTCAGTAGGCTGGGTGTCTCCCGGGTGCCAGGCGGTTGCGGGTTCCATTCCGGTCCAAGGCATATGCCCGGGTTGCTGCCCTGGTGGGAGCGTCCAGGAGGCAGCCCGTGGGTGGATGTTGCACTTTTATATTTTCTAAGTTTCTCCTCCACCCCTCTCTAAAAATCAACTTTTTTTTTTTAAGTGTTTCTCTTAAACTTGATTTGGGTGGTGTGTATGTGACTGGGATTTGAGGGACACAATCCTGTTTGTAAGTTCTGGAGGAAACTCAGGATATTTCTACCATCGTATAGGGTTTCTATCGTTCTCTCTCCCTTTCTCAATAACACATTTAGCCTTAGCCGGTTAGCTCAATGGATAGAGTGTTGCCCTGCTGACCAGAGGATCCCAGGTTTGATTCTGGTCAAGGGCATATACCTCGGTTGCAGGCTCCTCTCCACCCAGGCCCTGGTCAGGGCACATACAAAAGGCAGCCCATCAATGATTCTCTTTCATCATAAATGTTTCTATCTCTCTCTCTCTCTCTTCCTCTCTGAAATCATTAACAATAGATTTCTAAAAAATAAATAAAAATATTCTCAAGGATATCTCCTACACCAAAATGAACTAGACCAGATAGTTCCAGAGCGTAAAAATACTTGGGGGGAAATCCCAGCTTATTTTTGAAAATGATCATAATCCTTAATCAAAACCTAAGAATTATAACACTAGAAGGAAATCTTTAGACCATCCTATATAATAAAAGAGTAATATGCAAATTGACTCTCACTCCAACACACAAGATAGCCGCCCCCATTTAGACACAAGATGGCTGCCACAAGATGGCTGGCAGGAGAGGGAAGTTGTGGGCAATCAGGCAAGCAGGGGAAGGCAGTTTTATGGGCCAGGCAGGGGAGAGCAGTTGAGGGTGACCAACCCTGCAGGGGAGGACAGTTGGGGAGGACCAGGCCTGCAGGGAAGGGCAGTTGGGAGAACAAGCCTGCAGAGGAGAGCAGTTAGAGGTGAGCAGGCCTGCAGGGGAGGGCAGTTGGGGGTGACCAGGCCAGCAGGGGAGGGTAGTTAGGGGCAATCGGGCCATTAGGGGAGGGCAGTTAGGGTCAATTGGGCTGGCAGGGGAGCAGTTAGGTATCAATAAGGCTGGCAGGGGAGTGGTTAGGGGTGATCAGGCTGGCATGCAGAAGCAGTTAGGGGCAATCTGGCAGGCAGGCATGCAAGTGGTTGGGAGCCAGCAATCCTGGATTGTGAGAGGAGTGTCCGACTGCCCCTGGGATAGGGCAGTTGGACATCCCTTAAGGTGTCCCAGATTGGAGAGGGTGCAGACCGAGCTCAGGAACTACTCTCCCTCCCCTGCTGTGAACAAATTTCTTGCACTAGACCTCTAGTATTTTATAATTAATTACAAATACAAAAATGCTAAATGAAACATTAGCAATTTTATCCAGTAGCCTCCATACCACAAGACTTGCAAGAGAGAACAGTTTGTGTTATATAGCTCTATATTACTTATCTTAACCAATTTACCCACCTTCCCTCGCCCTCAAGAGCTTACAGGAAGATAATTTCATCATTATAATCCTTTTCACTCAATCACAACCAGTAGCTCCAGATCATCTATCATTTCCCTAATTAGCATCTCCACGCCACCCTCTACTTTCATTACCCCAACCATCTTAAGCATTTCATTCTGCACTTTAGATTTCAACATTTGTTTTCAGTTATTTCCCTTTTATTCTTACTTCTTCTCTAAATGTTCTCATCAACTTCCTGTTTCAACTGAAAACTGGTCTGTCACCTAGCAAAACTACCTCCCTAGCAACTTATCAAGTACAAAGAGCATTTTCCCTATCATAGGTATCCTTATCTTATTTTTTAAAAATATATTTTATTGATTTTTCACAGAGAGGAAGGGAGAGGAATAAAGAGTTAGAAACATCGATCAGCTGCCTTCTACACACCCCCTATGGGGGATGTGCCGCAACCAAGGTACATGCCCTTGACTGGAATCAAACCTGCGACTTTTCAGTCTGCAGGCCAACACTCTATCCACTAAGCCAAACCGGTTTTGGAGGTATTCTTATCTTAGAACCTTCTCCTCATGTTGCCTCCAAATCTTTCTTCCTTCCTCGTTCAAAAATCTAAGTTCTTTTTTTTTTTTTAATATATTTTATTGATATTTTACAGAGAGGAAGGGAGAGAGATAGAGAGCTAGAAACGTCGATGAGAGAGAAACATCGACCAGCTGCCTCAAAAATCTAAGTTCTTTTAAAGTTAATGCCAACTGGCACTACATTAAGATCCTTGGTAATGCCATCTTCATTTGCTCATGGTTCACTGTCTTAATCTCTTCCATTATTCTTGTCACTTCTCAGCCACTTATTCACATTTTCCACATTTTCCATCCAATACCCACCCTGGCTTCTCAGTTCCTTGTTATGGTGAAGTGGTTTGCTACTTACTATTTGTGTTCTGCATCCTTTATCCTCTCTCCTCATGAGCTTTGCTCCTCCAATTACCCTATCTTGCTCCAATTTCATCAATTTCTCCTGTTCTACTCGGACATTTCCATCTGTGTACAATATATTCAAGTTTCTATTTTAACAACAACTACAAAAAGTTCCTTAACACCTATCCTATCCCATTTCTCAGCTCCCCTTGACAGGAAAACTTCTGAAAGAGTTGGCTGTACCTAGAAGCTACTTTCAATTCCTACCTCATAACTTCTTAAACAAATCCAATCAAGAAACCATCCCCATCCTGCCACTAAGACTGTTTTTATGCTATAACCAGACCTCTCTGTTTCCAAATCTAATGAGGACTTTTCTGTTTTTACTAATTTATGTCCCAACTGAAGCAGAAAGTGAAAGCACTGCTTCCTTCTTGAAACGTAATTGCTTAAACCATTGCTTCTTTTTTTTTTCTTTTCAAAAATATATTTCTATTGACTTCAGTGGATAGAGAGTCAACCTGTGGATTGAAGGTTCCCAGGTTTGATTCTGGTCAAGGGCACATGCCTGGGTTCCGTGCTTGATCCTCAGTTAGGGTCATGCAGGAGGCAGCAGATCAATAATTCTCTCATCATTGATGTTTCTCTCTCTCTTCCTCTTTGAAATAAATAAAAAAAAATTTTTAAGTGTATGGAGAATATCTAGAATAGTGTTTACATATAATAAGGGCTCAGATGTTGTATCTTATTGTTGTTATTAATAACATTTCTATTAAGCTTCTTGATTTTTCTGTTTTATTTTTCACCTTACTCTTCTATAATCTGGCCTCCATCCCCTTTAGCTTTCTAAACTATCCACTTCTTACCCCCTAATTACCAAAATTACTTCCAATTCTCTTGGCTCATTAACTTCTCTGTTTAACTTAAAGCTTTTATCACACATATATTGTACATTTGTACCTTAAACACTTTAACTTACATTAACATGTATTCATGCTAATCTTTTGATGTAGGGTAAGACCTTTGCTTTGAATATGAGTCATCTGTTTGGAGTTCAGCATCCCTCCTTTTTCCATAAACCACATCAATAGTATATCAACTATGTTTTTCAGTTTTGACTTCTTTAAAGGGGGTTAAGAGCCGAAACCGGTTTGGTTCAGTGGATAGAGCGTCAGCCTGCGGACTGAAAGATCCCAGGTTCAATTCCGGTCAGGGGCTTGTGCCCTGGTTGTGGGCACATCCCCAGTAGGGGCTATGCAAGGGGCAGCTGATCGATGTCTCTCTCTCATCAATGTTTCTAACTCTCTATCCCTCTCCCTTCCTCTCTGTAAGAAATCAATAAAATAAAAAAATAAAATAAAAGTTTGCATTAAAAAAAAAATATATATATATATATATATATATATATATATATATATATATATATATATATAAAGTGGGTTAAGAACTTAAAATCATATATACAGTGCTCTCAATGCACAATCCTCTGGACTTTAAGACATAACCATCATCAATTTTTTACAGTAGTCTCACCCATATCCAATTCATAGCAGGTCTTTTTATTTTCATCACTTTGCCTTTATTAAACCTTTCTAAAGCATTCAATTTAATTCAATTAAGAGAGAACTTTGACATTGCCTTTATTCACAGCTTATGATGTAATGCAAGGTTTAATTAAGTATGTAGTTAAACAACAACTCCAGCAAATAGGTTTGTGAACTAGCACTGACTCAACATATGGGAGCAGGTAATATGTGAGGATGTTTCAAAGAATTAACCTGAAGGCTCAGCATGCATTGGGCATCAGAGTGTCTTTTTTAGAAGCAATGGACGGTACTAATTAGGTAATTCATTTAAATGGTGTCTGGTAGAAAGAGCTTCTATTGTACAATTGTTTTTGGAAGTGCATTAATGAAAAATGAGGTGAAGTCAAAGAATTTACAGGAAATGACTATCTTTGTGATGAGCACAATATAGCTAATTCTGCCTACTTACATACAACAAACTAATATGAAATAAAATATGTTCTGATACTCTGGTGGACATTTTGTGTGTGTTT